AGAGGCTAGAGAGAGAGCAGAGAGATCAGAGAGAGAGCAGAGAGAGACCAGAGAGAGGCCAGAGAGAGACCAGAGAGAGAGACCAGAGAGAGACCAGAGAGAGACCAGAGAGAGACTAGAGAGAGGCTAGAGAGAGACCAGAGAGAGGCCAGAGAGAGACCAGAGAGAGACCAGAGAGAGAGCAGAGAGAGGCCAGAGAGAGGCTAGAGAGAGGCCAGAGAGAGACCAGAGAGAGACCAGAGAGAGACCAGAGAGAGAGCAGAGAGAGACCAGAGCGAGGCCAGAGAGAGACCAGAGAGAGACCAGAGAGAGACCAGAGAGAGGCTAGAGAGAGGCTAGAGAGAGACCAGAGAGAGGCCAGAGAGAGACCAGAGAGAGACCAGAGAGAGAGCAGAGAGAGACCAGAGCGAGGCCAGAGAGAGAGCAGAGAGAGACCAGAGAGAGATCAGAGAGAGACCAGAGAGAGATCAGAGAGAGACCAGAGAGAGGCTAGAGAGAGGCTAGAGAGAGGCCAGAGAGAGACCAGAGAGAGAGCAGAGAGGGAGCAGAGAGAGACCAGAGAGAGACCAGAGAGAGACCAGAGAGAGACCAGAGAGAGACCAGAGAGAGACAAAGAGAGACAAAGAGAGACCAGAGAGAGACCAGAGAGAGAGCAGAGAGAGACCAGAGAGAGACCAGAGAGAGACCAGAGAGAGACCAGAGAGAGACCAGAGAGAGAGCAGAGAGGGACCAGAGAGAGGCCAGAGAGAGAGCAGAGAGAGGCCAGAGAGAGACCAGAGAGACACCAGAGAGAGATCAGAGAGAGACCAGAGAGAGACCAGCGAGAGAGCAGAGAGAGACCAGCGAGAGAGCAGAGAGAGACCAGCGAGAGAGCAGAGAGAGACCAGAGAGAGACCAGAGCGAGACTAGTGAGAGACCAGAGAGAGACCAGAGAGAGACCAGAGAGAGACCAGAGAGAGACCAGAGCGAGATCGGAGCGAGACCAGAGAGAGATCAGAGAGAGAGACCAGCGAGAGACCAGCGAGAGACCAGCGAGAGACCAGCGAGAGACCAGCGAGAGACCAGAGAGAGACCAGAGAGAGACCAGTGAGAGACCAGTGAGAGACCAGCGAGAGACCAGAGAGAGAGCAGAGAAAGACAAAGAGAGACCAGAGAGAGACCAGAGCGAGACCAGAGCGAGACCAGAGTGAGATCGGAGTGAGATCGGAGTGAGATCAGAGAGAGACAAAGAGAGACCAGAGAGAGAGAGCAGAGAGAGACCAGAGAGAGGCCAGAGAGAGACAAAGAGAGACCAGAGAGAGAGAGCAGAGAGAGGCTAGAGAGAGATCAGAGAGAGACCAGAGAGAGAGATCAGAGAGAGACCAGAGAGAGAGAGCAGAGAGAGGCCAGAGAGAGGCCAGAGAGAGGCTAGAGAGAGATCAGAGAGAGACCAGAGAGAGAGATCAGAGAGAGATCAGAGAGAGACCAGAGAGAGAGATCAGAGAGAGACCAGAGAGAGACCAGAGAGAGAGAGCAGAGAGAGGCCAGAGAGAGAGCAGAGAGAGACCAGAGAGACCAGAAAGAGACCAGAGAGAGACAGAGAGACCAGAGAGAGACCAGAGAGAGACCAGAGAGAGAGCAGAGAGAGGCCAGAGAGAGGCCAGAGAGAGACCAGAGAGAGGCCAGAGAGAGGCTAGAGAGAGAGCAGAGAGATCAGAGAGACAGCAGAGAGAGACCAGAGCGAGGCCAGAGAGAGAGCAGAGAGAGACCAGAGAGAGATCAGAGAGAGACCAGAGAGAGACCAGAGAGAGACCAGAGAGAGAGCAGAGAGGGACCAGAGAGAGGCCAGAGAGAGAGACCAGTGAGAGACCAGAGAGAGACCAGAGAAAGAGACCAGAGAGAGACCAGAGAGAGACCAGAGAGAGACCAGAGAGAGACCAGAGAAAGAGACCAGTGAGAGACCAGAGAGAGACCAGAGAAAGAGACCAGAGAGAGCCCAGAGAGAGATCAGAGAGAGACCAGAGAGAGACCAGCGAGAGAGCAGAGAGAGACCAGCGAGAGAGCAGAGAGAGACCAGAGAGAGACCAGAGCGAGACCAGTGAGAGACCAGAGAGAGACCAGAGAGAGACCAGAGAGAGACCAGAGAGAGACCAGAGAGAGACCAGTGAGAGACCAGAGAGAGACCAGAGAGAGAGACCAGAGAGAGCCCAGAGAGAGACCAGAGAGAGACCAGCGAGAGAGCAGAGAGAGACCAGCGAGAGAGCAGAGAGAGACCAGCGAGAGAGCAGCGAGAGACAGAGAGAGACCAGAGCGAGACCAGTGAGAGACCAGAGAGAGACCAGAGAGAGACCAGAGAGAGACCAGAGAGAGACCAGAGCGAGACCAGAGAGAGACCAGAGCGAGACCAGAGAGAGGCCAGAGAGAGACCAGAGCGAGACCAGAGAGAGATCAGAGAGAGACTAGAGAGAGACCAGAGAGAGACCAGAGAGAGATCAGAGAGAGAGAAGAAAGAGACCAGAGACCAGAGAGAGACCAGCGAGAGACCTGCGAGAGACCAGCAAGAGACCAGCAAGAGACCAGCAAGAGACCAGCGAGAGACCAGCGAGAGACCAGAGAGAGACCAGAGAGAGAGAAGAAAGAGATCAGAGAGACCAGAGAGAGACCAGCGAGAGACCAGCGAGAGACCAGCGAGAGACCAGCGAGAGACCAGAGAGAGACCAGTGAGAGACCAGAGAGAGACCAGCGAGAGACCAGAGAGAGAGCAGAGAAAGACAAAGAGAGACCAGAGAGAGACCAGAGCGAGACCAGAGAGAGACCAGTGAGAGACCAGTGAGAGACCAGTGAGAGACCAGTGAGAGACCAGAGAGAGACCAGAGAGAGACCAGAGAGAGACCAGAGCGAGACCAGAGAGAGATCAGAGCGAGATCGGAGTGAGATCAGAGAGAGACCAGAGAGAGACCAGAGAGAGACCAGCGAGAGACCAGCGAGAGACCAGCGAGAGACCAGCGAGAGACCTGCGAGAGACCAGAGAGAGACCAGAGAGAGACCAGAGAGAGACCAGCGAGAGACCAGCGAGAGACCAGCGAGAGACCAGTGAGAGACCAGAGAGAGACCAGCGAGAGACCAGCGAGAGACCAGAGAGAGAGCAGAGCGAGACCAGAGAGAGACCAGAGAGAGAGAAGAAAGAGACCAGAGAGAGACCAGAGAGAGACCAGAGAGAGACCAGAGAGAGACCAGAGAGAGACCAGTGAGAGACCAGCGAGAGACCAGAGAGAGACCAGAGAGAGACCAGAGAGAGACCAGTGAGAGACCAGCGAGAGACCAGAGAGAGACCAGAGAGAGAGAAGAAAGAGACCAGAGAGAGACCAGAGAGAGACCAGAGAGAGACCAGAGAGAGACCAGTGAGAGACCAGAGAGAGACCAGAGCGAGACCAGAGAAAGAGACCAGAGAGAGACCAGAGGGAGACCAGAGCGAGACCAGAGAGAGACCAGAGAGAGGCCAGAGAGAGACCAGAGAGAGACCAGAGAGAGACCAGCGAGAGACCAGCGAGAGACCAGCGAGAGACCAGCGAGAGACCAGAGAGAGACCAGAGAGAGACCAGAGAGAGACCAGAGAGAGACCAGCGAGAGACCAGCGAGAGACCAGAGAGAGACCAGTGAGAGACCAGCGAGAGACCAGAGAGAGACCAGAGAGAGAGAAGAAAGAGACCAGAGAGAGACGAGAGAGACCAGAGAGAGACCATAGAGAGACCAGAGAAAGAGACCAGAGAGACAAAGAGAGACCAGTGAGAGACCAGAGAGAGACCATAGAGAGACCAGAGAGAGACCATAGAGAGACCAGAGAAAGAGACCAGAGAGAGACCATAGAGAGACCAGAGAAAGAGACCAGTGAGAGACCAGAGAGCTCTCTGGCTTCACAGGAGGCTCTCGTCTTTACGGCTTAATGACGAAGGACACACAGCAGCTCGCTGGAACACGCCAATTAGCTCGCCCATTTGTTGGCCTTTTAATTATGAGAAAGTACCTCCACGCGGCTATAAAAGACACACAAATATAATGTGTGTGATGTAGAAGACTGCAGCGGGAGCAGAGTGCAGAGGAATGTGGTATTTAATGGGTTTTAGATGGAAATGGAACCGATTATAGAGCACAGGCTTCAGGACAAGTGCAGAGGGATTTTATTGTTGCGTACATTTATCACACTGTGCATTTACATGAGGCACAGATTCTCACAACGCTCTCGGCTTCATTCAGTTTAATGACTGAGATCTCTGTTAAAGCAGCAATATGTAAGATATTCATGTCAAGTCATCATTAAAGGGCCCTAATCTGTCAAAAGGCATTAATAAAACATGGTCTTTTCCAATACTTCTTTAACTGATAACAGTAGTTCAGAGATATTTGGATTTTAAAATTAGTTTGACAGCCCCTAAATCTTGTTACTGTTTTAATTTAGATGCCCCGCCCTCCACCGTTTCACCAATCAGAAAGTCCGTGATCCGGGCGCCAGAACTCACCGTGTGGAGCTAATCTCACTGGTAAAGTACCATGTGGCGCAGAACTAAAAAAGGTCTCGTTATGATTCTCAAATCATTAACGACAAAACAAGGAATAAAACCAGGATTTTTATCTTTGTGAAAAATGTGTTGGTTATAGATTTGTTGTTGACAAAACTCTTGTCTATTCAGCTGTTATGGTCCCAGCTGGATTCGTCTGCATATCTGGCAACCTGAATCAAAGAGAGTGCATTACCACCTTTGGCCAGATTTTTACATATTGCTCCTTTAATGCGGTTTACTGTACATGCACAGGCAGCACGTCGATATGGAATTTTCATCAAAGAATCATGATTTTAGACCCTCTTCACTCTGTAGAAGCCTCACCCAGGACTGCCCGACTTTAAATTATACATAAAAGTAAAAAATAATTTGGCCCCTGACCTGCTTTTGTGCATTTCCTGTGTGTAAAATAGTTTTGTGCAGACTGAGTGCAGTGTACACAGCTGTGACCGTGTCTCTCACCCACAGATGTCCTTCCCGCCACGTCCCCGTCTTCGTTGCGAGCGTTGAGGGAGACGCCTTCAGTCGAACGTGCGACCAGAGCTTCATCCTGGAACACGCTCAGAATTAACACTTTCTCTACAAGGACAAAAAACTATCAATTTCTTCCTGAACCTGATCCTGAGCAACGGTTCAGAGCTAGAGCATCTCTCCTGCCTTCACTCCTTGTGAAGGAGTGAAGGCAGAGGTACTCCTGTACCTCTGCGCACCTGTACCTCTGCTCACCTGTAACTCTGCTCACCTGTACCTCTGCTCACCTGTACCTCTGTGCGCCTGTACCTCTGTGCGCCTGTACCTCTGTGCGCCTGTACCTCTGTGCGCCTGTACCTCTGTGCGCCTGTACCTCTGTGCGCCTGTACCTCTGTGCACCTGTACCTCTGCTCACCTGTACCTCTGCTCACCTGTACCTCTGTGCACCTGTACCTCTGTGCGCCTGTACCTCTGTGCGCCTGTACCTGTGCGCACCTGTACCTCTGTGCGCCTGTACCTCTGTGCGCCTGTACCTCTGTGCACCTGTACCTCTGCTCACCTGTACCTCTGCTCACCTGTACCTCTGTGCACCTGTACCTCTGTGCGCCTGTACCTCTGTGCGCCTGTACCTGTGCGCACCTGTACCTCTGTGCGCCTGTACCTCTGTGCGCCTGTACCTGTGCGCCTGTACCTCTGTGCGCCTGTACCTCTGCACACCTGTACCTCTGCACCTCTGCACACCTGTATCCTCCCACCCCACGGTCGAGACCTGGTCCATTTCATTTTGATAATAAGTTGACTTCCCGGCTACAATAGCTCAGTTGGTAGAGCATTTGCCTTTGAGCCTGAAGGTCGTGGGTTCGAGCCCATCATAAGACCTACTTCACGACTCCCACTGATGACTGCTGTCGTTGTGTCCTTGGGCAAGACACTTAACCCCACTTTGCCCGAAGCCCCCACTGAAAGATCTCAGCCCCTGTGGACTCAGCACCTGCAGGAGGATCAGTGAGGGGCTGGTGTTCTGTGTACTGGGTGCAGCTCTGACTGCCACCCCCGACCCAGAAATGGATTAAGGGGAAGAAAATGGATGGATGGATGGTTGACTTCCCTTCTGCATATGCATATCGTTCTATTCCATACTTAAGTCTGGCGAGTCTTAAGGAACCAAATGATGCAGTAAACGAGGCATGTCCAAACTCAGGCCCGCGGGCCATTTGCAGCCCTCTGCTGCTAACACAAAGTCGCCCCTGAGGCACTTTGACAGTGTCATCCAACCAACTTCAGCTCCACCAATACAGTCAGGCTAGATCTTGTAAATCTCAGACCCTCTGGAATCCAGTTGTGAACTCCACTGTTTTATGATTATGTCACAACATTCCACATAAAATTCAGCAGTGAATCATTAAGGACGTTTCATAACCAATTTTAAATTCCAAAATCCAGTCAATCCAGCTCGAATCCAGTTTTTAAATCCAGGTTATCGGCTCCAGGTCAAGACTGATGACCTGACTCTTACAAAGAGGTTTGGACACCCCTGTAGAAAACCATTAACTAAATAACACACAAACACAACACAATAAACATCATTCTGATCAATTACTTTGCCACTTCCTTAACGATCAACATTCTCTTAGTGAGTTAACAAGACTATTACACATGCTCCAGAGGCTAACTGGTGTAACAGTTACAACATTACTTTCTTTGCAGGTTTTACATATAAATACAAAGCACCATCAAACACCTGCACCATGGGAGTCACAAATGCCTCGAACCATAAAAGCAAAGTGGATAATACAGAGGATGTATCCACGGTCAGCCTCATCACACATGCTGCTCCCATCAGTCACCAGGGCAGACGGCCATCACTGATCCATGGACAGACTCGCAGATTACGCCGCTGCATAAAACCAAAATCATTTCCTTCATCATTCGAGTAATAAAGACCAAGAATCAACGCCGTGAGCAGAAAAGCCATAATATGTAAACAACAGCAGAAAGTCCCATCTGCTGCGAGAAGGCGGCTCGTAAACTGCTCCCCCCACAACGTCCCGGAGGTTACAGAGAGTGCTCAGAGTGAGAGACCTCAGAGTGAGAGACCTCTGTGCGAGACCTCTGTGAGAGACCTCTGTGAGAGACCTCTGTGAGAGACCTCTGTGAGAGACCTCTGTGAGAGACCTCTGTGAGAGACCTCTGTGAGAGACCTCTGTGAGAGACCTCTGTGAGAGAACTCTGTGCGAGACCTCTGTGCGAGACCTCTGTGAGAGACCTCTGTGAGAGACCTCTGTGAGAGACCTCTGTGAGAGACCTCTGTGAGAGACCTCTGTGAGAGACCTCTGTGAGAGACCTCTGTGAGAGACCTCTGTGAGAGAACTCTGTGCGAGACCTCTGTGAGAGACCTCTGTGAGAGACCTCTGTGCGAGACCTCTGTGAGAGACCTCTGTGAGAGACCTCTGTGAGAGACCTCTGTGAGAGACCTCTGTGCGAGACCTCTGTGAGAGACCTCTGTGAGAGACCTCTGTGAGAGACCTATGTGAGAGACCTCTGTGAGAGACCTCTGTGAGAGACCTCTGTGAGAGACCTCTGTACGAGACCTCTGTGCGAGACCTCTGTGCGAGACCTCTGTGAGAGAACTCTGTGAGAGACCTCTGTGCGAGACCTCTGTGAGAGACCTCTGTGAGAGACCTCTGTGAGAGACCTCTGTGAGAGACCTCTGTGAGAGACCTCTGTGAGAGAACTCTGTGCGAGACCTCTGTGAGAGACCTCTGTGCGAGACCTCTGTGCGAGACCTCTGTGAGAGAACTCTGTGTGAGACCTCTGTGAGAGAACTCTGTGTGAGACCTCTGTGTGAGACCGACCTCTGTGCGAGACCTCTGTGCGAGACCTCTGTGCGAGACCTCTGTGCGAGACTTCTGTGCGAGACCTCTGTGCGAGACCGACCTCTGTGCGAGGCCTCTGTGCGAGACCTCTGTGAGAGACCTCTGTGAGAGACCTCTGTGAGAGACCTCTGTGAGAGACCTCTGTGTGAGAACTCTGTGAGAGAACTCTGTGTGAGACCTCTGTGTGAGACCGACCTCTGTGCGAGACCTCTGTGCGAGACCTCTGTGAGAGACCTCTGTGCGAGACCTCTGTGCGAGACCTCTGTGCGAGACCTCTGTGAGAGACCTCTGTGAGAGACCTCTGTGAGAGACCTCTGTGTGAGACCAACCTCTGTGTGAGACCTCTGTGCGAGACCTCTGGGAGAGACCTCTGGGAGAGACCTCTGTGAGAGACCTCTGTGAGAGACCTCTGTGAGAGACCTCTGTGAGAGACCTCTGTGTGAGACCGACCTCTGTGCGAGACCTCTGTGTGAGACCTCTGTGCGAGACCTCTGTGCGAGACCTCCCTCTGTGTGCTCTGTGCGAGACCTCTGTGCAAGACCTCTGTGCGAGACCTCTGTGCGAGACCTCTGTGCGAGACCTCTGTGAGAGACCTCTGTGAGAGACCTCTGTGAGAGACCTCTGTGTGAGACCTCTGTGCGAGACCTCTGGGAGAGACCTCTGTGAGAGACCTCTGTGAGAGACCTCTGTGAGAGACCTCTGTGAGAGACCTCTGTGTGAGACCGACCTCTGTGCGAGACCTCTGTGTGAGACCTCTGTGCGAGACCTCTGTGCGAGACCTCCCTCTGTGTGCTCTGTGCGAGACCTCTGTGCAAGACCTCTGTGCGAGACCTCTGTGCGAGACCTCCCTCTGTGTGCTCTGTGCGAGACCTCTGTGCAAGACCTCTGTGCGAGACCTCTGTGCGAGACCTTTGCGGCGAGACCTCTGTGAGAGACCTCTGTGCGAGACCTTTGCGGCGAGACCTCTGTGCGAGACCTCTGTGCGAGACCTTTGCGGCGAGACCTCTGTGCGTGTATGTGTGTGTGTACGTGGGTCCATGGTTGCGGTCCTCCTCCACAACACTGCTGCCACTGAACACACATCTCACCTGTTTACATCGTGCCCCGTCTCTTCTGCTCCAAACCTGAATCTGAAGACTTACATTTTCACTTTTGCACTAGACTTTTAGACTTTCAAACTAAATTATAGCTTTAACACTCACAAAATCCTTGAACTCTGGCCAATACACTCTGCTTCTTTCATAGTCGTCATGCCAACAAATGCACGAGTATTTACCTCTCTGGAGTGGATTTCATTGGCGTAGACTGGGAACAGAAACTCCGACTCCCCGTCCTCCAGCCTGACGCCCTCGGAGTGGACTTGGAGGAGGCCCATTCCAGACTGTGGGGCGGGAAAAACCTCACATGAGTCATAATCTAAAAGCAAACATCACATACCATCATTTACATTAGTATTTCATTAGAATACATGGATCTACAGCTGCGTGATGTCGGTGTGTCAGGGCAGAGCTGTAAATCCACTGCGGCCGTCTGGACCTCCGACAGAAAGCTGACCAGACTGGATGAAACGAGCTAAAAATGAGGAGTGGTGTTTGGTCGTGATCCGCTCAGGGACGAGACGGCACCGCAAATACTAAACTGTGAGCTCCAAGTGCGGAAAAAAGCATGGTGTGAGTTTGACGAATGAACTATTACTATGACGTGGAGAGAAGTAACAGACGATGTATCGCTCTCTCACAGTGTTCAAGAGAATTAAAACTTTAATTATTCAAGTAAGTAAGCTTTATTTATATACCGCCTTTCACAGACCAGAGTCACAAAGCGGTTTACAATTGTTATTTTTGGGCACTTGTCCTCTCACTCCACACAGAGATGGGAGCGGGGTCGCCGAACAGGAGGCGCATGCCAGACCTATTGTACATATTTTTAGTGGTAGGGGAAACCGGAGTACCCGGAGGAAACCTACGCAGATTCACTTTTAATTTACTTTCTTTTATGACCCCCAAATACTGCTACTACTGTCACTGTAGGAGGTCATTGATGGAATGGCGAGGATGAAACATTAAACATGGCTCCTTCATCGTTTACACATTAAAAGACCAAGACGTGGATCTGCTCATCAGGTCTGATGTGTGTCTGCTGTGTGTCTGCTGTGTGCCTGCTGTGTGCCTGCTGTGTGCCTGCTGTGTGTCTGCTGTGTGCCTGCTGTGTGTCTGCTGTGTGTCTGCTGTGTGCCTGCTGTGTGTCTGCTGTGTGCCTGCTGTGTGTCTGCTGTGTGTCTGCTGTGTGTCTGCTGTGTGCCTGCTGTGTGCCTGCTGTGTGCCTGCTGTGTGTCTGCTGTGTGCCTGCTGTGTGTCTGCTGTGTGCCTGCTGTGTGCCTGCTGTGTGTCTGCTGTGTGCCTGCTGTGTGCCTGCTGTGTGCCTGCTGTGTGTCTGCTGTGTGTCTGCTGTGTGTCTGCTGTGTGCCTGCTGTGTGTCTGATATGTGTCTGCTGTGTGTCTGATATGTGTCTGCTGTGTGCCTGATGTGTGTCTGCTGTGTGTCTGCTGTGTGTCTGCTGTGTGCCTGCTGTGTGTCTGCTGTGTGCCTGCTGTGTGTCTGCTGTGTGCCTGCTGTGTGCCTGCTGTGTGCCTGCTGTGTGTCTGCTGTGTGTCTGCTGTGTGTCTGCTGTGTGTCTGCTGTGTGTCTGCTGTGTGCCTGCTGTGTGCCTGCTGTGTGTCTGCTGTGTGTCTGCTGTGTGCCTGCTGTGTGTCTGCTGTGTGTCTGCTGTGTGTCTGCTGTGTGCCTGCTGTGTGCCTGCTGTGTGCCTGCTGTGTGTCTGCTGTGTGTCTGCTGTGTGCCTGCTGTGTGCCTGCTGTGTGCCTGATGTGTGTCTGATGTGTGCCTGATGTGTGTCTGCTGTGTGTCTGCTGTGTGCCTGCTGTGTGCCTGCTGTGTGTCTGCTGTGTGTCTGCTGTGTGCCTGCTGTGTGTCTGCTGTTGTGTGCCTGCTGTGTGTCTGCTGTGTGTCTGCTGTGTGTCTGCTGTGTGTCTGCTGTGTGCCTGCTGTGTGCCTGCTGTGTGCCTGCTGTGTGTCTGCTGTGTGTCTGCTGTGTGCCTGATGTGTGTCTGATGTGTGCCTGATGTGTGTCTGCTGTGTGTCTGCTGTGTGCCTGCTGTGTGCCTGCTGTGTGCCTGCTGTGTGCCTGCTGTGTGTCTGCTGTGTGTCTGCTGTGTGCCTGATGTGTGTCTGCTGTGTGCCTGCTGTGTGCCTGCTGTGTGCCTGCTGTGTGCCTGCTGTGTGTCTGCTGTGTGCCTGCTGTGTGTCTGCTGTGTGCCTGCTGTGTGCCTGCTGTGTGTCTGCTGTGTGCCTGCTGTGTGCCTGCTGTGTGCCTGCTGTGTGTCTGCTGTGTGCCTGCTGTGTGTCTGCTGTGTGCCTGCTGTGTGTCTGCTGTGTGTCTGCTGTGTGTCTGCTGTGTGTCTGCTGTGTGCCTGCTGTGTGCCTGCTGTGTGCCTGATGTGTGTCTGATGTGTGTCTGATGTGTGTCTGATGTGTGTCTGAACCTAGTGGTCTCTAAACTAATATTGTCCAAATATATAATGCTTTCATTCCTGTTCTTTTCAGACTGATGAGGTCCAACAGAAACTCACTTCAGAGATAAATATAATGTTCCAGAAGTGATCATGTGTCTGATGAGTCACGACCACAAGACCTACAGTACACTGATATATACAAACTATGTCTATACGTTTTTTTATCTACACATTTTATGATGTTTCTTTCAGCTGATTTGTTAGCAGGTCCGCCGTGTCTTCAAACTCTTGACATATTTTTTTTCTAAACTCCTTCTTCTGGAATCGTAGCTCAAAGGGTAATGACCATAGACAGTAAGTATCTCCGCCGTTGAAACTAATGTGCCTCCACTTTTTCCTTCAGTGGTTTTTTTCAAAATGGCCACGGGGCAGGCCAATGTGAAAAAACACAGTGCATTCTAAAGTCCACAGCGGCTAAACTGGCTAGGCTGGTCCAAAAAAATATCCTCCCCTCAGCATTGACAGCCTCTGGAACGTAGCTTTGGGCCAAGAGTGACTTTTGGACCATCCTTTAAAGAGGTTTTCAAGAGGAAAAAAGGCAGCATACAAAAGCATTGGATAATTCTGTTTCCGGGTACACCCCCACAGGCCCGGAGTGAGATTGCAGCATGTCACCGCACGTGACTATGGACCTTTTTGAGCCGGGACCCGCCCCCACTGCTGATGATCCATAGTGGCCCCTGTCAGAGCCTCTCAGACTTTCAGAGCAGGTTTGTTCAGCACTTACAAAGTCCTTGGTTAAAAACTTGTGCGTTGCTCAAGGACTTCTCACTTGATGATGGATCAGTGTTTGAAGGACTTCTCCACCGTCATTGACAGGTTTGACAGCCCCCTTTTTGATTTACCAAACGTTTATTTAAGCCAGAGTCCTAAATAGCGTTTAATTTGTTTTACTTTTGAAAGATGTGTAGGAAAAGTGCAGTAAAGCAGATGGCATCGTTCTGGTTTAGCATAAAGGTCAGAACCATAAACCAGTCCATATATTTCACACACTCATTTACTTTCCTCAGCCTGGTCTGTGGGTGAAGATGTTTCCTCTGATGAAACACGCTTCAATAGGTTAGTGTTCAGGCAGAGTCGAGGAGAATACTTATAACTATATTTTAGAGTACTGGCTTTAAAATGCATTGTGCTTTGTTACATGGTCCAATCAGAGTACTGCATTCTGAATACTTTTGAACAATACTGAACATTTTCACTCAATTGTATACTATAATGTAAAAAATCCATAACCCTTTAATTTGTTTTATGTAACGCATATTTCAGAGATGCTGAATTATAACGCAAAAAAAAAAATTAACTTTAAAAATAACCCACAATAAACAAAATCCTTGAAGTAGCAGCTGTGAGTTTTAAGGCTGTAAAACTTTGACCTGTGTGTATTCAAAAATACTAGTTTTCTGAGAATGCGTGCCTGGTGCATGTGTTCCATTACTCTCCAACACTAGAGCAGAGCAGCGGCGTCTCAGGTGTAAGGGATTTTAAATGATGACTCAAAAAAGCCTTTCTGTGCAGTGTTTGCATGTTTCTGCCCATGTCTGGGTGGGTTTGCTCTGCGCTCTTCCACTTCCTCTGAATTATCCTGCTTCCTCTGGGTTCCCCCACTTCCTCTGAATTATCCTGCTTCCTCTGAATTATCCTGCTTCCTCTGAATTATCCTGCTTCCTCTGGGTTCCCCCACTTCCTCTGAATTATCCTGCTTCCTCTGAATTATCCTGCTTCCTCTGGGTTCCCCCACTTCCTCTGAATTATCCTGCTTCCTCTGAATTATCCTGCTTCCTCTGAATTATCCTGCTTCCTCTGGGTTCCCCCACTTCCTCTGAATTATCCTGCTTCCTCTGAATTATCCTGCTTCCTCTGGGTTCCCCCACTTCCTCTGAATTATCCTGCTTCCTCTGAATTATCCTGCTTCCTCTGAATTATCCTGCTTCCTCTGGGTTCTCCCACTTCCTCTGGGTTCTCCCACTTCCTCTGGGTTCTCCCACTTCCTCTGGGTTCCCCCACTTCCTCTGGGTTCTCCCACTTCCTCTGGGTTCCCCCACTTTCTCTGGGTTCCCCCACCTCCTCTGGGTTCCCCCACTTCCTCTGGGTTCTCTCACTTCCTCTGCGTTCTCCCACTTCCTTTGAGTTCTCCCACTTCCTCTGTGTTCTCCCACTTACTCCGGGTTCTCCCACTTCCTCTGCGCCCACTTCCTCTGCGTTCTCCCACTTCCTCTGGGTTCTCCCACTTCCCCCGGGTTCTCCCACTTCCTCTGGGTTTTCCCACTTCCCCCGGGTTCTCCCACTTCCCCCGGGTTCTCCCACTTCCCCCGGGTTCTCCCACTTCCTCTGGGTTCTCCCACTTCCCAAAAACATACACCGAAGGTAAAATCATCACGCTCCGGTTCTGATCAGAGCATCAACATCCGGAGATGGCATTTAAGCATGGGTCAAATGCATGGGGCAAATGCATGGGTCAAATGCATGGGTCAAATGCATGGGTCAAATGCAGAGGATGCATCATTAACTAACTCTGAAATGCATGAAACAGCTGTGAGTGTGAGAGACCGGGAACCCTCTGGAACCCGGTCAGAGGCGTGAGGGACGTACCGGGTTGAACCACATGACCCGCAGCAGCCACACGGTGAGCGCCATGTTGATCACCATGACGACGATGAGCAGCAGCACAAACAGGTAGAGGCAGCGCTTCCTCCAGCCGTAGATGCCCACCGTGTACAGGTGGTCCGGCCCTATCCTGGGGGGCGCCAGGCCCGGGCCAGAGGTGATGTACTGCTCCTGCACCATCTGCTGCCTACACAAACACACACACAGACACACAAACAGTAGTTCAGAGATAGGGCTGAGCTGGTATTCAGATCTGTAAATGCAATGAGTTTGCTAATTTTTTCAATGACAAGGTTCAAGGCATCAAAAGCGCCATTGTCTCCAATCCACAGATAACCATCCAACAGCCAGAAAGGCTCTCTGAGCTAACTCACTTTGCACCTGTAAATGATAAAACTGTCCAAGAGATAATCTCCAGTTTGAGCTCCTCCACATGCAGCCTGGATGTACTACCCACTAGATTTCTGAAGTCTGTTCTGAGCAGTCTGTTACCTTCACTCACACAGATAGTAAACATGTCCCTTCATTCTGGAATATTCCCAAAGGCCCTGAAAACTGCAGTCATCAGGCCCCTGCTAAAAAAGAGCAGTCTGGATGCCACTGTACTTAACAACTATCGTCCCATCTCAAATCTGCCATTTATGGGGAAAGTCCTTGAAAAAGTTGTCTACCTACAGCTTACTAGATTTCTTATAATCAACAACTCATTTGATATGTTTCAGTCCGGCTTTAGACCCCACCACAGCACTGAGACTGCTCTCGTTAAGGTTACAAACGATATCCGGCTGAACACTGACGCAGGCAAAGTCTCAATCTTAATCTTGTTAGATCTAAGTGCTGCCTTTGACACCGTCGACCATGAGATCCTCTTACAGAGACTAGAGGACTGGGTTGGCGTCGCTGGCACCGCCCTAAGTTGGTTTAGGTCTTACCTTGAAGACAGGAAGTACTTTGTGGAGATTGGAAACTGTGTCTCAGATCATATGGCCCTGACCTGTGGAGTCCCACAGGGGTCGATCCTGGGACCTCTTCTGTTCAATCTCTACATGCTGCCGTTAGGTCAGTTAATACGCAGAAACAAAGTTTCCTATCATAACTATGCAGACGACACTCAGATCTATGTCTCACTGACTGCAGGAGAACATGGACCAGTGGACTCACTCCTTCACTGTATCCAACAGATCAGTGAGTGGATGCAAAACAACTTCCTTCAGCTAAACGCAGACAAAACTGAAATGATTGTCTTTGGTCCCCAGAAACAAAGAGAGAGCGTCATCTGTCACCTACAGTCTCTCTCCCTAAAACCTTCAAACAAGGTCAGAAATCTAGGGGTAATACTGGACTCAGACTTAAATTTTAATAGCCACATCAAATCAGTAACATCAGCAGCTTTTTACCATCTAAAAAACATTGCCAGGATCAAAAACATAGTGTCTAAAGCAGACTTGGAGATTCTTATCCATGCATTTGTCTCCAGTAGGTTAGACTACTGCAATGGCCTGCTCACAGGTCTGTCCAAACAGGCTGTAAAACAGCTGCAGTACATTCAAAATGCAGCAGCTCGAGTCCTGACAAGAACCAGGAAGTACGACCACATTAGTCCAGTCCTCAGGTCTCTGCACTGGCTTCCTGTGGCTCAGAGAATAGACTTTAAAACAGCTCTGCTTGTGTACAAGTCTCTCCATGGCCTCGCACCAAAATATATTAGTGACATGTTAGTCCCATATGAACCAGCCCGGACTCTGAGGAGCACAGGGACTGGACTCCTGTTAGTGCCCAGAGTCAGAACTAAACATGGGGAGGCTGCTTTTCAGATTAATGCTGCTAAAATCTGGAACAGTCTTCCTGAAGATGTGAGACAGGCCTCCTGTTTAAAACCAGGTTAAAGACAGTTCTGTTTAGCTGTGCATACAACTGAGGGATTTTATATTTTTATCTTTCTTTTTAATGTTCTGTGATAATTTATGATTTTAATGCTTTCTTGTTTTGTTCAGCACTTTGAATTGCCTTGTGTATGAATTGTGCTATATAAATAAACTTGCCTTGCCTTGCCTTGCCTTGTATGTTTGATCAGCTGTAGTGTAGTGTGGGCAGGACTCAAATCCAACATGAATGCAACAAACACTGTACGAGGGAATAACACATTTTTGAGCCAATACCAACGCTGATTAATTGGGGATTCAGCAAATCTATAACCAACACCTTTTTCACAAAGAGAGAAATCCTTTTTAGTTCTGCGCCACATGGTACTTTACAAGTGAGACTAGCTCCACGCGGTGAGTTCTGGCGCCCGGATCACAGACTTTCTGATTGGTGAAACGGTGGAGGGCGAGACATCCAAATAAAAACAATAACAAGATTTAAGGGGCTGGAAAACTAATTTAGAAATCCAAATATCTCTGAACTAATGTTATCAGTTAAAGAAGAATTGGAAAAGAGCATGTTTTATTAATGCCTTTTGACAGATTAGGGCCCTTTAATGATGACTTCACATGAAAATCTTACATATTGCTTTAAATTGTGATATGACTTCATTATTCACTCATTCATGTAAAACTAATCTTTCCTTCTTTGTGTGAACTGTTTTTTTTACAACAGCAAGAGCTACTGTATGATAAAGAAAAACCAAAGCCTCTTTACATTTCCTTTTGCTACAAACATGACACATTAGTCTCTCACTTCCCTAAAGCCATGCTCTCTTTGAACGTCTTCAGAAACACTGCAGTAACAGTGGTTTTCGGCCTCCGCGCTCCAACGGAAAATGTGAGTTGATTCCAGTTTTTTTGGAGAGAAAAACGCGGCACATATTAAAGAAGTGATTCTTTCTGGCTATCGATGACGAGAACTCCCAAAGTGTGGTGGTCAGCAAGTTTCCGACCACAGCGTGTTGCACAAGCAGCCATCACTTGAGGCTGTACACAAAAGGCCATGGAGGGGTTTTATTGAGCGTCCCAGTCAGCACAATGGGCCTGTGACAGCGGGACACCAGGTTATGGGCGAGAAGTGTGAAAGGCCTGTGTTTTTATCATTTACAAGGGTTTTCTTCACACTCAGTATCAGGCTCATATAGTGAAAACTGAAAAATACTGTATTGACTGATTTAACTTGGTAACTTGAGCTCTATCCTCTCCTCCTTCCTACTTTATCTGTTTAGCATTATTAGGATTTTGACTGTAGTCTGTTCATTGCTATTCACCCGTTGTCCCATTGTCGGTTTCATGGAGCGACGACGGGACCTCTGAACCTGGCCTCCTCCATCTACACCTGCGGACTGCCCCGCCCGACCCGCCTGGGAGTGCTTCAGTCCTGCACCGGACCTGTCCACGTTCTGTAGCTTAGGTCCTGGATCTACAGCCTCAGTCCTCGTTCTACAGTCTGAGTCCTGGATCTACAGCCTCAGTCCTCGTTCTACAGTCTGAGTCCTGGATCTACAGCCTCAGTCCTCGTTCTACAGTCTGAGTCCTGGATCTACAGCCTCAGTCCTCGTTCTACAGTCTGAGTCCTGGATCTACAGCCTCAGTCCTCGTTCTACAGTCTGAGTCCTGGATCTACAGCGTCAGTCCTCGTTCTACAGTCTGAGTCCTGGATCTACAGCCTCAGTCCTCGTTCTACAGTCTGAGTCCTGGATCTACAGCCTCAGTCCTCGTTCTACAGTGTGAGTCCTGGATCTACAGCCTCAGTCCTCGTTCTACAGTGTGAGTCCTGGATCTACAGCCTCAGTCCTCGTTCTACAGTCTGAGTCCTGGATCTACAGCCCGTCCGTCCGTGTGGAGCAGATCCCTCTCTCATGATGCTGTTGTGATTTAGGGCTATACAAGAATAAATTGTATTGCATTTGTATTTAATGGCTCTAATCTGTCAAAAGGCATTAATAAAACATGTTATTTTCCAATTTTTTTATTTTTTTTTTTCATTTCGATGTCACCAATCAGAAAGTCTGTGATCCGGGCGCACACTTTGACCCCTATTTTCTTGGAATTTCCACAGTAAAAGTGAATGTGACTTTGCACAATAAAAGAGGGCATCACAGTGAACAAGTGTGCAGTGAAAGCTTTTTCTAAGGTTTTTTACTTTTTTTTTAAATCCAGGTTAAAAAGTGCATTTTGGATCATTATTGCACACTTTGACCCCTATTTTCTAGGAATTTCCACAGTAAAAGTGAATGTGACTTTGCACAATAATAGAGGGCATCACAGTGAACAAGTGTGCAGTGAAAGCTTTTTCTAAGGTTTTTTACTTTTTTTTTTTATCCAGGTTAAAAAGTGCATTTTGGATCATTATTGCACACTTTGACCCCTATTTTCTAGGAATTTCCACAGTAAAAGTGAATGTGACTTTGCACAATAATAGAGGGCATCACAGTGAACAAGTGTGCAGTGAAAGCTTTTTCTAAGGTTTTTTATGTATAAAAAAAGAATCATGTTAAAAAATGCATTGTGGCGGCCCATCCCCGCGGCTTCGCTTTCCTGTGTTACCGTAAGTAACAGCATAATGTGACACCCCTCTTTTTACGTGCGGACCTCTTTACCGCTGGTTCTGGAAAGCCGGACCTCTTTACCGCGGTTGCATATCTGGCAACCTGAGTCAGGGAGAGTGGGAGAGGCTGCAGTACCACTTTTGGCCACATGTTTACACACTGCTGCTTTAACAATTGAACTGATTAATAAAATGCATCTAACGAGTTCCTCTCTCTCAAAACAGTTTGATTTTATCACTAGTTTTTTACATACATGTGTTTTTGGCCTCAGTCACTTTTTAGATCATGTTTTTCAGACAGAAAATCCAAAAGAGAGAACCCCCCCATCACTCAACCAATCAGGTCTCAGCCCAAATCCTCAAATACTTCCTCACAGGGCACTTTTTCTGATAAGATGGAGACGGTTTACAAGACTCTTTCTGTTGGGACAAGCAATTCTGTCAGTGTGCCCCAGGGCAGCTCTGGCTACAGTGGTAGTTTATCACCATCGTAAATAGAGATTGTCAATAGAGGGTCATTTGCAAATACATATTGATATTGTAGATTTAGCTGAAAGGTAAAGGTGCACTTTATTAATCCCCGTAGGGCAATTCAATCCTCTGCATTTGACCCATCCTGATGTCGCAAAGGCTGACGTCAGGAGCAGTGGTTGCCGTAGTAACAGCGCCCGGGAACCAATCTCCAGATGTTGATGCTCGGCTTTGTCAGCTGGAGGATTTAACCTAGCGTGCATGTTTTTAGTGGTAGGGGAAACAGGAGTACCCGGAGGAAACCTACGCAAGCACGGGGAGAACATGCAAACTCCACTCAGAAAGACCGGCCAGGATTCGAACCCAGGACCTTCTTGCTGAGAGTCCTAGAAACTAGACCAATTATTGTTGCTTGATTGTATATTTATATATTTCCATGTTTAAGTATATATTATAAACACAGAAGGCAACATGAATAAAAAGTCATGTAAACTAAGGAATGTAAATATTGTAAAAACATTTCTACTTGAATGAATAAAAAAATCAAATCAATCCTTATGGGGTGAAAGAGTACTTTAATAATTAATACTTTAAAGACTTTAATTATCCCACAATAAATGTACAAGTGAAGTCTTTGAGTGTCTAAAAAAGCGCTTCATAAAACTGACACATTATTATTATTATTATTATTATTATTATGTTCCCCAGCTTTAAATATACATCTACATGACAGAAAACCTTAATTACTTCCCACCGTGGAGTCATAAGAGCCATTAGAATGAGACGTCAGCCCCAGAGAGGCCCGGGACCGGCACGTCGGGGCTGCAGCCTCCAGAAATGCTCATAACAAACTCAATAAAAGCAGCGAAAAGGGGAAAATAACTTCCTGAGGCGACCGTCTGCTGCAGTCTTAGTTCTGATTTGTCTTTTCTTTAGACCAGTCATAGCTGTAAATAAACTGGCATCACGACAAAAACCGGCGCAGAGCTGCTGACAGAAGCGAGATTCTGCTCTGATTTACACCCGAGACAGATGTTGTGCTTTGGCGTCACGTCCAGGGCATTTCCCAGCATGCTAAACACAACACCGCCTTTAACTACTGCAGATGTTACTGCGATTATTCGTCTGATAATGAAGTTTTTAATGCCCTTTCAAGCACAGGGAGTATGGTGAGGCGTCCAGAGGGGTCCGCCGTGCTGCCTCCTGTTATTACATAATTGACGGTGATTCTAGATGAGTCCTAATTGATATTAAACTCAGCAGGATCTTTATGGCGCTTTGCTTTTGAAACTGTGCTGGGTCATGTGCGCTCGGCTGAATGTATTTGCCGGATAAGCAAAGCTGCGTTATGATTGTAGTAAAAGTAAAAACAGTATATGTAAAACCTGACACTGCAGAAATGGATAAAGGAGAGACAGAAATAAATGTGGAAGAAAAGGTACGAGCCAATTACAAAGAGGAGTTGGTCTCTGTTATTCTATCACAGCAGGCATTTTGGCACAGATGAGTAATAAAAGCGCAAGCTCAATGTGTATTTGTCATTGTAGCTCAGTTGTAGAGCATTGGCCTTTGAGCCTGAAGGTCGTGGGTTCGAGCCCAAGACAAGACTTTCTCCATCGACTCCCGCTGATGTCACCAGCCACAGTGGGGCTGCGGCCAAACTGCTGTTGTGTCCTTAGGCAAGACACTTCATCCCGATTGCCTAGAATGAGTCTGGTGTGTGTGAGTGGTTGGAGGCACAGACTGGTTGCCTTGCTTCTGTCAGTGTGCCCCAAGGCAGCTGTGGCTACACTAGTAGTTTATCACCACCGTGTATGGAGTCTGGTGCCGGGATCACAGACTTTCTGATTGGTGAAACGGTGGAGGGCGGGACATCGAAATGAAAACATTAACAAGGTTTAGGGGCTGGAAAACTAATTTTGAAATCCAAATATCTCTGAACTACTGTTATCAGTTAAAGAAGTATTGGAAAAGAGCAGGTTTTATCTATGCCTTTTGACAGAATAGGGCCCTTTAATGATGACAGATTAGGGCCCTTTAATGATGACAGATTAGGGCCCTTTAATGATGACAGATTACATATTGCCACTTTAAGCATGACTACAAAACTAACCTGAGAAACTGTATGATAACTTATGATGTCATAGTGGTACATTGTGGTCGAAGCATGAATAAAAACTTAGACATTCGTTGCTGTTGAAGATAAACTATTTTCAGCTTAGCTTTAAAACCAATACAAACGAAAACAAGCGGATCCTTTAAGCCTCAATGCAGCAGCTTTATAGCGCGGCTGCAAACACCAAACTACTCACAAATTGGGGTAAAAACAGATTGAAGTGAGTGTTAAATTGGCTGATAATTCCCTCTCTCCACATCCTTGGCATTACTGTGGTATCAGTCTGAGCTGGTGGCCAATCAGCAGCCTGGAAGAGTGCGCCCGCCATTGTCAAAGTAATGGCTGTGCTCTGGGATAACACCATTACTTTAAACGAATATGTTATGGGAGCAGAACGAGCTCCGAGGGTGGATCTCTGAGGTCCTGTTCCAGCAAGAGCCGCCCTTAAGAGCCGCAGTCGGACTCTTCCATAGCAACCCAAATAAACAGCTGCTGAAGCCGGGGCCAGGAATGTGCAGCTCGCCGTCTCTGCACCAGGAGAGCGCCTTTTCACCAAAACGCCAAAATTCTCAGTCATAGAAAAGCTTTAAAGTCGGTGTTCAGTGACGCAGTGGAAATGTGTAAAGGAATTTCACGGTTTCAAATGTTAGAGTTGAAATTATTGTGAGAGAAAACGCAATTTGCAGTGATTTAGAATAAAGCTGGGATACTTAACTTTCAAAATCACACACAAAATTAACTTATTTCTTGATCTTTATAAGTTTTTGCTTCTATTGCTGTGTTTTCTGGGCTCTGTCACAACTTTAGATCAGATTTTTAAGGCAGAAATAGTGACTCAAGCGTACAAAAGTCATGCTTTTGAATAAGATAAAACCAGAATGTTGTGGTTGATAAAAGAATGGATTATTTACGAGTACCTCAGCTTTAACCAAGTATCAGTGAAAATCCACGTTTTCCTCGACTATTCTGCAAACAATTACAAAGAGTGTGTTCATGCTTTAGTATTTAAGCAATTTCACACTTAGAGAAATAAAATACAAATATAGTAAGCTTGAGATAAAATCAAAAAATGCATGAAACTATGTGATTAAACCATGTCTTAGCCGTGTGTGTCAAATCAGACTTTGTGACGGGATAATTAAAGTTAATGCAAATAAGCAGCCACTTTTTTTTAGGTATATGTGTCTATTTTTGTTCTTTTTTCATGGTAATGCAACACATATCACAATAATTACAACAGCAATACATTCCATGACGACAGATTAAACCATAAATTGATAAAAAATAATATGGAAAGTATCACAAATATGACTTAAACGTGACTCAATACAAACAACTGCAGGATAGTACTGTTATTATGTATGATTTTAATGTCTTATGTGTGATTCCATCTTGTTTACTATCACTCTGAGTTGCCTTGAGTATAAACTGTGCCATACAATTAAACTCGCCTTGTCAAAACAGGAGAATAACCACATTTAAGTCCAATTCCAAAACCAAACCTTAAGATGAAATCAAGATGAGCATGTTTAATTGGAAAGGTAGTTCAAAAACAGTCTGTGTGTCAGCTCAGAGCCCGCCGTGCTGTCTGCCCTCCTCTGTTACCCCCGTACTAAAAATAGGACTTGGTAATACACTATTTAAGAAAGACACAAGCAGACATGAGCAAAATAAAATTGTTAAAACATTTTACTGGCAAACTACTGCGAGAGGGAGGTGCTGTGGCTCAAAACAAATGCTTGAATAGCTGTCCATAAATGGTAGTTTTCAGACAGAAGTGTGTGGCAGGTCTTGGTAAAGTAGAAAGTTAAGATTGGGTTGAATAGAAAAGCTCATGCATAGCTGATAAAAGCAGGGTTTGGAGAATGGAAAAGGCACTCACCGTTGCTCCACGCACTAAGCAAAGGCAGCTCGCTGGAATAAGCTCCACGCGTTTGACTGTCAGCCACTCAACAGCTGCGTGCCATAAATCCACCTCCGCCCGAGCGCCACCAGAGGGCGCTGTTCCATGATCCTCCACAGAGACATACAGCGGTGTCTGAATGTGGCAGCAGGAGATAACAGCGGAGATACAACATGAGGAGAGTGGGCAGTCATAACACATGCAGGTGAGCGTCCCAGAGCGGGTTAGATCCAACTTGTTCTGAGAGTCTGAGAGTCAAGTGCAGGAGAGAGAGAGAGGTCTGAGAGTCTAGTCCAGGAGAGAGAGAGGTCTGAGCGTCTAGTCCAGGAGAGAGAGAGGTCTGAGAGTCTAGTCCAGGAGAGAGGTCTGAGAGTAGTGCAGGAGAGAGAGAGAGGTCTGAGAGTCTAGTGCAGGAGAGAGAGAGAGGTCTGAGAGTCTAGTGCAGGAGAGAGAGGTCTGAGAGTCTAGTGCAGGAGAGAGAGGTCTGAGAGTCTAGTGCAGGAGAGAGAGGTCTGAGAGTCTAGTGCAGGAGAGAGAGGTCTGAGAGTCTAGCCCAGGAGAGCGAGAGAGGTCTGAGAGTCTAGTCCAGGAGAGAGAGAGGTCTGAGAGAGTAGTGCAGGAGAGAGAGGTCTGAGTCTAATCCAGGAGAGAGAGAGGTCTGAGAGTCTAGTGCAGGAGAGAGAGGTCTGAGAGTCTAGTCCAGGAGAGAGGTCTGAGAGTCTAGCCCAGGAGAGAGAGAGGTCTGAGAGTCTAGTCCAGGAGAGAGAGGTCTGAGAGTCTAGTCCAGGAGAGAGAGAGGTCTGAGAGTCTAGTGCAGGAGAGAGGTCTGAGAGTCTAGTCCAGGAGAGAGAGAGAGGTCTGAGAGTCTAGTCCAGGAGAGAGAGGTCTGAGAGTCCAGGAGAGAGAGGTCTGAGAGTCTAGTCCAGGAGAGAGAGGTCTGAGAGTCTAGTCCAGGAGAGAGAGGTCTGAGAGTCTAGTCCAGGAGAGAGAGGTCTGAGAGTCTAGTCCAGGAGAGAGAGAGGTCTGAGAGTCTAGTGCAGGAGAGAGGTCTGAGAGTCTAGTGCAGGAGAGAGAGAGAGAGGTCTGAGAGTCTAGTCCAGTAGAGAGGTCGGTCGGAGAGTCTAGTGCAGGACAGAGGTCTGAGAGTCTAGTCCAGGAGAGAGAGGTCTGAGAGTCTAGTCCAGGAGAGAGGTCGGTCGGAGAGTCTAGTGCAGGACAGAGGTCTGAGTCTAGTCCAGGAAAGAGAGAGGTCTGAGAGTCTAGTGCAGGAGAGAGAGAGGTCTGAGAGTCTAGTGCAGGAGAGAGAGAGGTCTGAGAGTCTAGTCCAGGAGAGAGACAGGTCTGTGTAGTGCTGAGATCCTAGTACAGCAGAGTGAGGTCTGTGCGCGTCCCCTTCTGCCGCTATCTCACCGGGCAGTCAGCATCTCCTCCAGCCTAAACTGTGGCCTTTTATAGATCACATACTGGCTGGAGAGATCCTTTCTCAAGTGAATGTGTTCCAGGATCTCGGTCTGGTTCAGGAGTGAGGGAAACATGGGTGAGATTGACAAACTGATAAGTGCAGCGTCGAGCGTACACCCTCAGCTGTGGTCCTGAGCATGTCTAATGGAAAGGTGGTGACATGTCTGGCACCTGCTTGTCATGGTAAGTGTAGGTTATTGTGTAAAAATGACAACTTAAAATATGTTCTCAAAGCAACTCACCTCCTTCATCTCTGGAGTAGGACAGTTGTGACTCTGGTCTGTGAAAGGCGCTATGTAAATGACTAGTGTGATGCCCCTGGATTGTAGTTTACGTTTCCCATTGTGTAAAAGAGGCTTATGCAATCATTTACAACCTAAAATTCTAGATAAAATGTTTATGGATTTTCCTTTACTGGACAGTGAGCCGAGCAACTCAAATCTTGCACTTGTCAAAGCAGACTATTTCCCTCCAATCATTGCAATGTTTTTTTTTTTTACATGTTCCAAGTCTACTGCTGTGGACCCTCGACTAAGATTTTCACAGCCGAACTTCACTTTCAATCTTTCCAAACTCAAACAGCATTTCATTTAAAGGCACACCGCGGACTTTGTGACCTAAAGAGTTGACACATATGAGTTATTTTATATGAATACTTGGGCCAATATACAGCGCTTGACACTTGCAATGCTCCGAGCGGGGCTGCCCTCTTGAAATACCGCCCATGTAAGTTTCGAGCAGACGGACCGTCTGCCACCAGGTCACGTGACTTGGAAGAAAGACTTGCTTTACGGCTACAGGCGCTGATATACTCATGGAGCTAAGGCTTTTGCTACTCATTTTTCACCTGCTTGACTCCTGGTCATGGCTGAGGCAAGGAAATTTTTTAAACCTTCGGAGGAGGCTAAAAAGAGGAAACGCGAAAGGGATCGTGCTGTAAGCTGCATGTCTGTATGAGCGCTGCTCTTCACCTGGTTCCTGGATGTCATCGACTGCAAAGATGTCATTCCACGCAGCACGAGCTAGACGCAGAACTCCCTCATCCAGGATATAGAAGTCCCATGTGTGGTAGATTACTAATGCAGCGGTCTGGAGGCTGACCACAGCAGAGTCTCTCAATATCTGTAGGCATGTCTCTACAGTTTGAACACACACACCAGTGCATGCTGTCTGAATACACACTCAAAAGACACCGGCTGACTGTTTGTTGACTTTTGCGACAGTGCTGAGTTGCTTGTGGCCACTAGGGGCGCTAAACGTGAAAGTTGCAGGTCTAGCGCCCCTAGTGGCCAAGAGTTACACGGTGTGCCTTTAAAGCTTGGATGTAGTACCAGTCAGTCTTCTAAGGGACCATAGTTGCCCGTCTGGTGCACACTGGGGACATTTGCAAATGTATTTCAATGTGATTTTACTGCAAATGGCAAATCAAATTAATCTGAAGTCATTTATAACAAGTCTTTTCCCATAGACCCAAGTCAATCATTCAATACTGATGTTTATTCACTTACTGTACAGAGGGAGAAAGAATTCCAACCACAAGAGTTTGCACAAGTTTAACCTCCACAAGAAAGCACTTCAAACCTCAGCATTTCATTTTTTACATTTTTATTAACCACATCATACAAATGGCCCATTGCAAGAAATCCTAAAAAGAAAAGTCAATAGTTACACAATAGTACACATTTTATAGAATTAAACATCCTCGTCAAAGGTGGAATAATTACCTGCTTATGCCTTCTCAGCAGCAGCGACCTCTTCGTCTCCTCCCTTGGTGTTTCTTGTGTAGATGAGCTGTGCTCTGTGTTTTGACACCAGCTTGATCATGCCTGAAAGGAGACAGGGCATAAACACAGGACTTGACCTTGTATCAAAACTCACATTTCACTGGCGACAAGTTTCTACATTAGACCAAAATAAAAGTTCATGGACCATTTCCAACAGCAGTGATGCTTGATGACAATCTAAAGTATGACTGAAGCCACCAGTCAAAGAACTTTGAGAATACCAGTTCGAGTATTGTTAAATCTGTAGATTTGCCCAAAGTGAAAAAATGTGTCAGTTTGTACATTGCCAATTATAATTTAGAGTTTATAAACGTGTTCTAGAAGTGCTTTCTAAAGTTTGAATCTCCTTAGGAAACAATTTTATATCATCCATCAAAAGTGAGATTTCATGATTCTTTTAAAAAAACTTGCAAACTTAAAAGTTCACCTTTAGTTAGCAGCTCTTGGAGGGCATTCCTTGCCAGAGAACCACGGATCTTCAGCCTCTCGGACACTACAGCAGGTGTGATGAGCTTGTAGTTGGGGACTTCTTTGTACAACTTCTCGTAGGTTGCCTTGTCGAAGAGGACCAGGTTATTGAGCTTGTCCCTCACCTTTCCCTTGGACCACTTCTGCTCAAACAAACAACATAGTTAAGTAACAATTATCAGGTACTATAGAGTGCAAGAAAGTCTTAAAAAAGGCCACATATCCCTATAGTCTGAACTAGCGTGCCGGATTAAAAAAGTGCAAAACGTGAAAGCTGTGCGGATTCTTTTCAGTTATGTTGCTCCCAATCTGTCTTTTATTTACAGACCATGTAACGTTTCGGGCTGAGGCCCTTCAGACACATGATTGAGCAAACATTTGAAAACATACAAAATAGCTCAGACAACATGCCCATACATTTTAGAAACCAGTTTATACAGGACTACAGCAATGTTTTTTTTATTTGTATGCCTTTTGAAATGATCAATTTTTAGTATATTAACTCATTGAATGCCAGCCTATTTCAGAACAGGTACTCCCACAGTGCCAGCCATTTCTGATGATTTTTACTGATTTTTCAAGACCCACAGAATATTGTGTACTATGACTATCTGAAATCCGACACCAGATTCTAAAAGAATGGACTGTCTACTTTCCTCAGCAAAAATAATTTTGTTTATAGCTTTTTTCGTTCCCCTGTAATCCTTTGTTGAGTAGAGGGAAGTTTTACTGAAATCACCAGAAATCACCAGAAAGCTGAGAAAAAAGAGGCACAACATGTGCACCTACATGTTTTCAAACCATTCAGAGAGCAATGCTGCCACCTGCTGGCTCGATAAAATATGGTCTCAAGTCATCCCCATACATATTAGATACAATAGACATCTGGGAACGTGAAAATAGCGAAAAAGGCAATTGACGGATTAATGCGTCAATGGCACACGACGTTACTATTTGCTTTGACGTATTTGTGCGTCAATGGGACACAATGAGTTAAGAGATCAAATGAGCCAAACTAAGGTTTTTTTCATAGCTTAATTTAAATAATACTTATGAGAATGACTGCTTCGTTCATAAAGGTTCCAGTTTCATGTCCATCAGTTATTATATCAGGTATTGATGGCTTGAAAAAGGATGGAACACTGAATTATAGTCAAATATGAATATTCTTTGTGCCAATTTGACAAATACTCAAAAAGGACAACAATAATGTATTAGTCAATTGCATCCACTAAATATTAGCCTTAAATAAAACAGTACCTTCTTCTTGGCCTTGCCTCCAGACTTGTTGACTGGGTCCTTGTCCTTCTTGGACTTCCCCGCGTCCTTTTTCTTGTCCTGCTTGGGAGGCTGCAGAGAAAACACACTCAGTACAGCGGCAGTAACACTAAGTCCCAATACAACATTTTGCATCATTCTGACCGGCGTGTGATGCATCTATCTGGGGAAAACTAGTCCCGAATTCGGACATAAGTGATGTTGTGAGATACAATATGACATTACAAATATATACACGCCAGACTGAATATCCTTTTCATGCGTTTAATATGAAATCCACACGGGCACATGAAAGCGTGGTTGGAAAGGCCATCAAGCTAAGTGGCTAGGTGGGACTGGACACTCAAGATATCAAAATACTTGGGTTTGTGTAAGATTTCAACAGCATATAACATGCGTATCACTGCTACGTCTTGTTTCGAGAGCATATTGAGGCCCAAAAAGCTGTAATTTAGTCAGTTCATGTTAAAAAGCTCTATGCTAACAGCGCTCACCATGTTTCCTCGTCAAGATGTCGGAGCGAAAGGAAGTCCGCCCGTGCTGCGTCCCCTAAGTCAACCCGTACATGCGGAAGTAAGACCCGCGCTTCTGTGAAATGTAGTTCTTTGACAGGATATAAAAAAGAAAAAATATGATCTGACCCAAAAAATCCAATATTAAGACATCAGTGTGTTTTTAGTATTGTATAGAATAAAAATAATCCGTAAAAAACACTCTGTCATGTTTCTTGAAGTTCTAACCTAATTTGCCCCTTTGTCACGTGACCCGTTCTGACAGCTCTTCGCAAAGATGGTGATCTTCAGTGTGGATGTTGTGAACAAGGCTGGTGGTTTGATTTACCAGTATGACAACTACGTCCCACGAGCGGAGGCAGAGAAAACCTTCAGCTACCCTTTAGATTTAGTACTGAAACATCACGACGAGAAAGTCATTGTCTCCTTTGGGCAACGCGATGGAATTAAAGGTTAGCACTGGTTAGCACTGGTTAGCCGAGCTAGCACAAGCGTACTGTGTCTGCTGTCAACTCAATGTTTAAATGTTCAATTTAAGTTCAATTTATTAAGAGAAAAATGTGCAGTTGCATTAAAAAGATGACTGCACCTGACCTGTAGTCCTTGACAATACAATCATATAACTTGCATATTAATATACAGTTTCAGTGCAAGTTACTGAAATTCAAATTAAAATACAGTATACTTTTCCTTAGACTGTATTTTTGTTCCTATGTGCAACTTTTGTCTTCAGTTGGCCACGCAGTGCTGTCCATAAATGGAGCAGACGTGATGGGCAAGAGCACTGCAGATGGGAAGGACATCCTCGAATACCTCAAAGATCCTTCAAATTATCCTGTATCCATTCGGTTTGGACGGGCCCGGTTGAGCTCCAATGAAAAACTGATGCTAGCCTCCATGTTTCATTCGTGAGTCACCCATCAACACTTCAGCACTGGGTTATAGGAGGATGACTGTTAAATACTATAATATAATACATGTGTTCTTTAGGTTATTCGCCATCGGCTCACAGTTATCTCCAGAGGTTGGCAGCTCAGGGATTGAGATGCTAGAAACAGATGTATTTAAATTGCATTGCTATCAAACTCTTACAGGTGAGAAAATGAATTACTTTGTTAAACTAAATGATGAATGGCCGAGTGGTCGTCACAATTTCTTCTTTCAAAGAGGTTTTGTTTTCATCAGGGTTTCTAAACCTGCAACGTCACTCAAAATGTTATGGTGGATTTTAATGGCAGTACCTTTGATACCTTCAGTATCTCTGGAATGAGACATGGAACAAATTGATTCAGATACATGTCTTACAGAGGAGCTTTAAAAACTGAACCAGTCTGTGCTCGAAGGTTGCTTTTCTAGTAAATATTGTGACACCATAACATTATATTTCATGTATGCATTGATTTAAGAGGTCAAAAAATGTCAGGTCCCTTTCGGAAATCTCCCTCTTGGCCTTTGAGGAGAGTTGGCTGGTTATTCAACTCTCCCCCCTGGACTGCCACCTTAACGTGGTGGGGGAGTTTGAGTACTCGGGTGATCCTGGGAGCTATGCTGTCTGGGGCTTCATGCCCCTGGTAGGGTCTCCCATGGCAGACAGGTCTCAGGTGACGAGTCAGACGATGAGCGGTCCAAAAACCACCATGGACAGCACAATAAGGACAACAGTGACGTCGCCCGGCATGGCGCAGCCGTGGCCCCACCCTGGAGCCAGGCCTGGGGTCGAGGCTCGTATGCGAGCGCCTGATGGCCGGGACTTAGCCCACGGGGCCCGGCCGGGCTCAGCCCGAAGGGATGACGTGGGCAGTCCCTCCTGTGGGCCCACCACCTGCAGAGCGGTCCGTGGTGGCGCCGTGCTGAGAGGTCTGGGCGGCAGTCGAAGGCGGAGACCTCGGCGACCCAGTCCACACACACAACATCTGGCTCTTGGGACGTGGAACGTCACCTCACTGGGGGGGAAGGAGCCCGAGCTTGTGGGGGAGGTTGAGCGATACCGACTAGAGATAGTCGGCCTCACCTCCACACACAGCTTGGGCTCTGGAACCCAACTCCTTGAGAGGGGTTGGACGCTCCACTTTTCTGGAGTTTCCCGCGGGGAGAGGCGACGAGCTGGGGTGGCCATTCTCATTGCCCCCCATCTCAGCCGCCACGTGTTGGAGTTCTCCCCGGTGAATGAGAGGGTCGCGTCCCTCCGCCTCCGGGTGGGGGACAAGTCTCTCATTGTTGCGACGGCTTACGGGCCTAACAGCAGTGCAGAGTACCCGGCCTTCTTGGAGTCCTTGGGAGGGGTACTGGACGGTGCACCGCCCGGGGACTCCGTTATTCTCCTGGGGGACTTCAACGCCCATGTGGGAAACGCCAGTGACACTTGGAGAGGGGTGATCGGGAAGAACGGCCCCCCTGATCTGAACCCGAGCGGTGTTCAGTTGTTGGACTTCTGTGCCAGTCACAGTTTGTCCATCACGAACACCATGTTCGAGCACAATGGTGTCCACCAGTGCACGTGGCACCGGGACACCCTAGGCCGGAGGTCGATGATCGACTTTGTTGTCGTATCATCTGACCTCCGACCGCGTGTCTCGGACACTCGGGTAAAGAGAGGGGCGGAGCTGTCAACCGATCATCACCTGGTCGTGAGTTGGATCCGCTGGCAGGGGAAGAAGCCGGTCAGACCTTGCAGACCCAAGCGTATAGTGAGGGTCTGCTGGGAACGTCTCGCTGAGCCCCCTGTCAGACGGACTTTCAACTCACACCTCCGGGAGAGTTTCTCCCAGGTCCCGGCGGAGGAGGGGGATATTGAGTCTGAGTGGACCATGTTCTCTGCCTCAATCGCCGATGCGGCGGCTCGTAGCTGTGGTCGCAAGGTCTCTGGTGCTGGTCCCGGCGGCAACCTCCGAACCCGGTGGTGGACACCGGCAGTAAGGGATGCTGTCAGGCTGAAGAAGGAGTCCTATCGAGCCATGATGGTTCGGGGGACTCCTGAGTCCTGCAACAGCCCGCGGCTCGGGCCGTTGCAGAGGCAAAAACCCGGGACTGGGAGGAGTTCGGAGAGTCCATGGAGCATGACTATCGGTCGGCCTCGAAGAGATTCTGGCAAACCATCCGGCGCCTCAGGAGGGGGAAGCAGTTCTTTGCCAACACCGTGTATGGTGCGGGTGGAGGGCTGCTGACCTCGACAGGGGATATTGTCGGGCGGTGGAAGGAATACTTTGAGGTTCTCCTCAATCCCCCCGTCACGTCCTCTGTTACAGAGGCAGAGGCTGAGGATGTTGGGGCGGATACATCCATCTCCCTGGCTGAGGTCACCAAGGTGGTTGGCAGCCTCCATGGTGGCAAGGCTCCAGGTGTGGATGAGATCCGTCCTGATTATCTAAAGTCTCTGGATGTTGTAGGACTGTCTTGGCTGACACGTCTCTGCAACATCGCGTGGCGATCGGGGGAAGTGCCAATGGAGTGGCAGACCGGGGTGGTGGTCCCTCTCTACAAGAAGGGGGACCGGAGGGTGTGTTCCAATTATCGTGGGATCACACTCCTCAGCCTCCCCGGTAAGGTCTACTCCAAGGTACTGGAGAGGAGGCTACGGCCGATGGTCGAATCTCGGATTCAGGAGGAGCAGTGTGGTTTTCGTCCCAGTCGCGGAACACTGGACCAGCTCTATACTCTCCATCGGATACTTGAAGGTTCATGGGAGCTCGCCCAACCTGTCCACATGTGCTTTGTGGATTTGGAGAAGGCGTTCGACTGTGTTCCCCGGGACGTCCTTTGGGGGGTTCTCCGGGAGTATGGAGTCGGAGGTCCTCTGCTGAGGGCCATCCGATCCCTGTATGACCGGAGCCAGAGCTGTGTTCGCATTGCCGGCAGTAAGTCAGACCTGTTCCCGGTGCATGTTGGCCTCCGCCAGGGCTGCCCTTTGTCACCGGTTCTGTTCACTGTGTCAGGGGTCGGAGGGGGTCCGGTTCGGAGACCACAGGATTTCATCTCTGCTGTTTGCAGACGATGTTGTCCTGTTGGCTCCAACGAACCAGGACCTGCAGCATGCACTGGGGCGGTTTGCAGCCGAGTGTGAAGCGGCTGGGATGAGAATCAGCACCTCCAAATCCGAGGCCATGGTGCTCGACCGGAAAAAGGTGCCTTGCCCTCTGCAGGTGGGTGGAGAGGTCCTTCCTCAAGTGGAGGAGTTCAAGTATCTCGGGGTCTTGTTCACGAGTGAGGTAAGGATGGAGCGTGAGATTGACAGGCGGATCGGTGCAGCGTGCGCAGTGATGCGGTCGCTGTATCGGACCGTTGTGGTAAAGAGGGAGCTGAGCCGAAAGGCAAAGCTCTCGATTTACCGGTCAATCTTCGTTCCCTCCCTCACCTATGGTCATGAGCTTTGGGTAATGACCTAAAGAACGAGATCGCGGATACAAGCGGTCGAAATGAGCTTCCTCCGCAGAGTGGCTGGGCGCTCCCTTAGAGATAGGGTGAGGAGCTCAGTCACACGGGAGGAGCTCGGAGTAGAGCCGCTGCTTCTCCACGTCGAGAGGAACCAGTTGAGGTGGCTCGGGCATCTGTTCCGGATGCCTCCTGGACACCTCCCTGGGGAGGTGCTCCGGGCACGTCCCACCGGGAGGAGGCCCCGGGGAAGACCTAGGACACGCTGGAGGGACTATGTCTCCCAGCTGGCCTGGGAACGCCTTGGGGTCCCCCCAGACGAGCTGGAGGCAGTGTGTGCGGATAGGGAAGTCTGGGCGTCTCTGCTTAGACTGCTGCCCCCGCGACCCGGCAACGGATAAAGCGGAAAAAAATGGATGGATGGCTGGCTGGTTATTGTTTTGATTGATTAGATCCCTAAAGCCCAGTGAATATGGAGAACACATTCAAAGAGATGACTTGTTCCACATCGGGTTGTTTGACTAAAAAGACTTTGTAGTTGCATTTTCATCTCTTTCTACAGTCACTATAGAATTATTGTCATAAAAACTTTTTTTTCTGTAAATTCAAAAGTAAGTTCTAGAACATGTCCTTGTCTCACTCAGGAATTAAGTTCATCGTTCTGGCGGACCCCCGGCAGACGGGAATCGATGCTCTGTTGAGGAAGATTTATGAAGTGTATTCAGATTTCGCTCTCAAAAACCCCTTTTACTCATTAGAAATGCCGATAAGGTAATGGCAACAGTTTATTTAAAAACAATTTCAATATTTGTGATTCCCTTAAACATTTGTCCTGTTTTTCAGATGTGAGTTGTTTGACCAGAACCTAAAGAGTGCTCTGGAGGTGGCAGAGAAGGCTGGGAACTTTGGAGCAGGCTCATAAAGAACAAACTCTCAAACTAACTTTTTCATCTGTATCGACTGTTTTTGTTTATTATGTGCAACTGAAGTGTGTTTCTGCAACAGAGAACTGTAAATACATGTTTTATATGTTTAATAAACATCATAAATAGTAAAAACATTTACAATTTACTAAGACTTCAAAATATTGATACAAAAACTAGTATTCAATTAAGCAAATATATCACTGAGAGAGTATTATTTGTTACACATTTTTAACTATATGGAAAGGATAAGTATAAAACCGTTTACACCATAAAAAGTATGCTTTAGTTAAAAATGGTATTGTCCAAAACATGGACATTTCGACACCATTTCCTCTTAATTTTTGCACTGATTTTCTACTGGTCTGTGCCGGCCTGGAACGGCTTTAAATGTAAAGAAAATATGTAAATAAGTATAACGTGCTTTAACATAAAAATATTTGTATATTGTGTGCTCCCTGCGTGTCTCTTGTCTGTGCGCTGCAACATCGACATTTCCCCACTGAGGGACGAGAAAATTGATATCATTGTTAATTGTGGCATCAGCCAAGCTTTGATATCGACCGATTAATCTAATCACAGTATTGATCAGTATCAGAACTGAACCAGCTGCATTTCTGTGAAACCACAAACACATTTTTAAATTATATTAATCATCTCACAAGAAATAATCTTTGCACTTTGGAATTTTTACACATCTTTGTAAAACGATGCTTTTTGAGGGAATGTAGAGAAGCACCAATGTCCTAGAAGTAGTCCAAAGGTATTTCTGAATGTAAGAGTAAAGCTCAGCGCAGACTTAGACTCAACTAAATCTCTGTTTCCTCCTCTCAGACTCATGTCGCATCTCCCATTTTTACATTCTTAAAGTCCGTTTAAAGCCTTCAAAGAGCTGTGAACTGAGTGTGCGCTGAGCTTGTTTCTACTATTGCACTGAGAGAATGACACTTGTACAAAAACATAAAAATTGGTCCATAGTGAGAGGTAAGTTAGTCTTCTTTCTTCGGTAGCGCGCCCATCTTAGTTTGAATATTGCGCAGCAGGAAGTATCCGACAGTACAGAGCCCAATGGTGACCTCCGCTACCCAGAAGGCCGTTTCCCAGCCGTGGTGCTTGGCGATGGTGCTGAAGGGGAGACCGGAAAGGAAGCCTCCGACTAAAACAAAAGCATTAGTGTTAAACATTTCAGTGATCAGGCCTGTGGTGAAAGCAACCAGCTCAGACACTCACTGTTGGCCATGAGAGATACAATAGCGTGCGACGTTCCACAGTAGTTTGATGGGGCACTTTCATTGGCAATAACTCCAAACAAGGAAATTGGTCCATAGGAGGAAAACCCAAAAACTGCTCCGAGAGTCAGAATCCACATCTGAAAAAGACAATGGACATTTCAGAAAATTAGGGTAAGGTTAAAGATCCAGAATATCCTTGATTAAAGAAGCAGTCAGTGATTTTTCCCAGACGCATTTTTTGAAATGATGGGAAAACGTCCCAAAACGCTAAAAGTATCAAGTTATGTGTTTTCAGATAGTAATGGAATAGTCTACAAAAATTACTAAAAATATGTTGTAGCAAATACAAATAAACCAATGGGATGCGTGTACCCCCTTCACCCTCTTCCTGTTTCTCAGAGTGCACCTGAGTTTTTCTGAATTTTCTAAAACCTTAAATTTGCTGAACAGAAAAGGCCAATTTCATGTTTGCTCCACTCTCCCTGTTGTGACAAAGAAAAGAAAATGCTGGATGTGCTAGGACTAAGCTAACAAAATCGCTTACGGCACCTTTAACCTGTAATTCAACTCTCAATTTGTGAAACTAACTAATATATGGCAGACTCATTACAATAAGCCAAATCTGCAAATTAAGATAAGAGATCCTAAATTTGTCCCACCGTGGGGAGATTTCATTAGTACCTCTATGTTTTAAGGCTCTAAAACCCCTCACCACTCGACAAAACACAATTTCTTAACCACCTGAACTCACGACTGCTGAAGTGCGATTGTGGAGCTATCAAACCTGTAGGTTGTAGGTCTGAGTGCTGCTGCAGCTGTCCAAAGCCGTGCATACACTGTTGAATACAGCTGCAGACGACACTGTGGGTCAGGAGCAGGACTGAGGCAGGACTGAGGCCTACGGGAAGACCACAGCCGTCCTCTGAACTCATCACCGCGGTCACACAAGCCACAAGAGTTTATTTCTGACTTATAAATAAATTCTAATATCTTGTTGTATCTAAATAAAGGTAACTCATGTGATACTAGTGGTTATATGTTTAATGAGTTAACATGACATGTGCGCTGTAATAAAAGCACCAAAAAACTTGCAAAACAGCGAGGCCACGAAACTTTGAAGTGTGTTATAGACAGGGACCACTGTTTGTCTTATTAATTATAATGTTGATATTTGTGCTCTGAACTGGGTGCAGCTCTGTACCGTCCCCCCCACCCCGACCCAGAAAGGGATTAAGGGGAATAAAATGGACAGATGGATGTTGATAGTTCGCTCACAGCGTGTAAAACCCAAAATAAAACATTAATATTTTAAAATGTGTAACCCATAATCATCAACATTATAACAAAGTCTTCTGTATATGTGACTTTACATGTAACAAGTCTGTGTCAGGGGCGACAGTAGCTCAGTTGGTAGAGCAGTGGCCTGGAGGTTGTGAGTTCGATTCCCACCATGGGACCAACTCCAACTGCTCCCACTGATGTCTACTGTCGTTGTGTCCTTGGGTACAATGACACTTAACCCCACGTTGCCTGAAGCCCCCGCTGAAACACCAAGGCTGTTTCACCGCTGACAGAGCAGCCATCTTCCTGTGGACTCACCCCCTGCAGAGGATCAGAGGGACTGGTGGGTGGCAGCTCTCATTGCCACCCACCTGACCCAGAAATGGACAATAAAGGGCTTGAAAATGAATGAATGAATGAATGAGTCTGTGTCATGAACTGGGCTCACGTTGTTTGTTGAATTACAGAAGTAAATGGACATTTGTACGATATTCTATTTTTCCGAGTTTAGCCTGAATATTAAAAAAGTACAATACTTTGGAAGTGTCGGCGGTGACAGTGAGTCTGAAGAGCAGCATGGACACGTACATCCCGGCCATCATCAGCAGGAGCAGGAAGTGACGAGGGTTGCCGTAAATCTTTGTGCCTTGCTGTTCAAAGAGAAAACAAAATTGTGTCACAGTTGGAATTGTGTTGGAAAATGAGACAGAAACGACACCACATCTACTTCCTCTTCTAAACATCCACTGAAACTCTAAATATGTCGATGTACATTTGAATTCCAGACTCAGAGCAGACTGACGAATCACTGAAAAAGGTTCAGGAACGTTTTACAAGGAAAATAATATGTTGTAAAGTAAAGTAGCAAAGTTCCCAAAGAAAATTTGCTAAATAAACTTTTTTTTTTTACTTGACCTGGGCTGATCAGCAATGTGGTGAATACTGACACATTATAAAGAACACATATTTCACATTTGAATTGTGCTTTTTGAGCTGAAAACCGCCGCTCCAGACTGTGGTACAGCTAAAGGACTTCCACTGAGTCAAACTCACTGGTTCAGGTTTTTGAACAGGAGTTACTGGAACAAGAGAGGTCGGTCTGGCCGCCTTTGTGAACTAAAACTATCTATTGAGGAACACACTTCTGAATGGACTTATGTTCTTTGATTAGTATGTGTTAAAATGTGTTTAAGGTTGATCCAGACCAGACCAGACCAGAGCAGAGTAGAGAGGATTCACGACCGAACCAAACAGACCAAGCTGAAATCCACTGGAGGAAGGATCAGTTTTTGAAAAATGCTAAACGGCCAGGGGACTACAGATGAAAAACTGCCTCCTTGGCTAATTCTGGCTTTTTAACTCATGTTTAATCATGTGTTTGTATTTATGAATGAATGAATGAATGAAACAAAGCATTCAGCATTTTACTTTGGACCAGAGCAGAGAAAATGGTCTGAACCAAGCGGCTGCTCCACCTCTGCTGCTGTGACCTAAAGTGCTGTTGCATTTTAATACTATTGTTAGCTATGTTTAGAATGATATATTTATTTGTTTTGTTTGTTTGGATGTGTTGCTGCTGCTCCTGGACACCTGCATTTCTCCTACAGGGATCAGTAAAGTCTGTATCTATCTCTCTAATCCATCTAAACAGCATGTAGTCAGACAAGTTGGTGGTCAGAGTGCCCAGAGGGATGTACATGTCACAAATATTGACTGAAGTACGTTTGCTTTTGTAGTGTCTGCTATTATAAGTTCTCCATATATGTACGTATGTGTCTTCATATGTATAAAGTTGTGTTTGGGACATTTGGGCCCAATTGCGGAGACTGCCCACTCTACTGACCCTTCTCAGGGGTCAATGGGGATGTGGACATCTGGAAGGACAATATGAGCCTGTAGTGAGACCCTCGGGGAAGACAGACTCAGAGATACAGAGTTTAAAGAGCGACTAAACACCTGTGCCCAGCCTACTCCGCCCACATGAACATTTGAAAATTTTTCTGCTTCATCCCTGACAGGCCGTTGCCTGGAGGACCAAGGGACAAGAAGGGGGGCTTAGAGTTGGGCGTGGTCTGGGCTGTGATTGACAGCTCACTTGTCACACAAAAAAAACACACCAGAAAGTCTCATTCCACCATTGTTTACACTTTCATTTCATTTTCATTTTTTTTTTTTTTTTTTTTTTCATTTTCATTTTTTCATTTACAACCCTTTATTTTCCATTTCTGGGTCAGGGGTATTGTTTACACACTAAGATAATTGTGGAGCTACACACCTGAACCTAATCCACTGATTTAGCTCAGCAGCATTGACGGTCAACTGATGTAATTTGCCAACCAACCTGCTGCTGGGGCGTGTCTGAGAGTTGAATGGATTTATATAACTGGCGCAGACAGACGCACGTCACACACACCAACTGACGTCTCACACACCAACTGACGTCACACACACCAACTGACGTCTCACACACCAACTGACGTCACACACACCAACTGACGTCACACACACCAACTGACGTCACACACACCAACTGACGTCACACACACCAACTGACGTCACACACACCAACTGACGTCACACACACCAACTGACGTCACACACACGTCACACACACCAACTGACGTCACACACACACACACCAACTGACGTCACACACACCAACTAACGTCACACACACCAACTGACGTCACACACACCAACTGACGTCACACACACACCAACTGACGTCACACACACACCAACTGACGTCACACACACCAACTGACGTCACACACACCAACTGACGTCACACACACACCAACTGACGTCACACACACACCAACTGACGTCACACACACCAACTGATGTCACACACACCAAATGACGTCACACACACCAACTGACGCCACACACACCAACTGACGTCACACACACACCAACTGACGTCTCACACACACCAACTGACGTCACACACACACCAACTGACGTCTCACACACCAACTGACGTCACACACACCAACTGACATCACACACACCAACTGACGCCACACACACCAACTGACGTCACACACACACCAACTGACGTCTCACACACACCAACTGACGTCACACACACACCAACTGACGTCTCACACACCAACTGACGTCACACACACCAACTGACGTCACACACACCAACTGACGTCACACACACCAACTGACGTCACACACACCAACTGACATCACACACACACCAACTGACGTGACACACACACCAACTGACGTCACACACACACCAACTGATGTCACACACACCAACTGACGTCACACACACCAACTGACGTCACGCACACACACACACCAACTGACGTCACACACACACACACCAACTGACGTCACACACACCAACTGACGTCACACACACCAACTGACGTCACACACACAAACTGACGTCACACACACACCAACTGACGTCACACACACACTAACTGACGTCACACACACACCAACTGACGTCTCACACACACCAACTGACGTCACACACACACCAACTGACGTCACACACACACCAACTGACGTCTCACACACCAACTGACGTCACACACACCAACTGACGTCACACACACCAACTAACGTCACACACACCAAATTACGTCACACACACCAACTGACGCCACACACACCAACTGACGTCACACACACACCAACTGACGTCTCACACACACCAACTGACGTCACACACACACCAACTGACGTCTCACACACCAACTGACGTCACACACACCAACTGACGTCACACACACCAACTGACGTCACACACACCAACTGACGTCACACACACCAACTGACGTCACACACACCAACTGACATCACACACACACCAACTGACGTGACACACACACCAACTGACGTCACACACACACCAACTGACGTCACACACACCAACTGACGTCACGCACACACACACACCAACTGACGTCACACACACACACACACACCAACTGACGTCACACACACACACACCAACTGACGTCACACACACCAACTGACGTCACACACACCAACTGACGTCACACACACCAACTGACGTTACACACACACCAACTGACGTCACACACACACTAACTGACGTCACACACACACCAACTGACGTCTCACACACACCAACTGACGTCACACACACACCAACTGACGTCACACACACACCAACTGACGTCTCACACACCAACTGACGTCACACACACCAACTGACGTCACACACACCAACTGACGTCACACACACCAACTGACATCACACACACCAACTGACGTCACACACATACCAACTGACGTTACACACACACCAACTGACGTCACACACACACTAACTGACGTCACACACACACCAACTGACGTCACACACACCAACTGACGTCACACACACACCAACTGACGTCACACACACACCAACTGACGTCTCACACACCAACTGACGTCACACACACCAACTGACGTCTCACACACCAACTGACGTCACACACACCAACTGACGTCACACACACCAACTGACGTCACACACACCAACTGACGTCACACACACCAACTGACGTCACACACACCAACTGACATCACACACACACCAACTGACGTGACACACACACCAACTGACGTCACACACACACCAACTGACGTCACACACACCAACTGACGTCACGCACACACACACACCAACTGACGTCACACACACACACACCAACTGACGTCACACACACCAACTGACGTCACACACACCAACTGACGTCACACACACCAACTGACGTTACACACACACCAACTGACGTCACACACACACTAACTGACGTCACACACACACCAACTGACGTCTCACACACACCAACTGACGTCACACACACACCAACTGACGTCACACACACACCAACTGACGTCTCACACACCAACTGACGTCACACACACCAACTGACGTCACACACACCAACTGACGTCACACACACCAACTGACATCACACACACCAACTGACGTCACACACATACCAACTGACGTTACACACACACCAACTGACGTCACACACACACTAACTGACGTCACACACACACCAACTGACGTCACACACACCAACTGACGTCACACACACACCAACTGACGTCACACACACACCAACTGACGTCTCACACACCAACTGACGTCACACACACCAACTGACGTCACACACACCAACTGACGTCACACACACCAACTGACGTCACACACACCAACTGACATCACACACACCAACTGACGTCACACACACACCAACTGACGTCACACACACACCAACTGACGTCACACACACCAACTGACGTCACACACACCAACTGACGTCACACACACCAACTGACGTCATACACACACCAACTGACGTCACACACACACCAACTGACGTCACACACACACCAACTGACGTCACACACACCAACTGACGTCACACACACCAACTGACGTCACACACACCAACTGACGTCACACACACCAACTGACGTCACACACACCAACTGACGTCACACACACCAACTGACGTCACACACACCAACTGACATCACACACACACCAACTGACGTGACACACACACCAACTGACGTCACACACACACCAACTGACGTCACACACACCAACTGACGTCACACACACCAACTGACGTCACGCACACACACACACCAACTGACGTCACACACACACACACCAACTGACGTCACACACACCAACTGACGTCACACACACCAACTGACGTCACACACACCAACTGACGTTACACACACACCAACTGACGTCACACACACACTAACTGACGTCACACACACACCAACTGACGTCTCACACACACCAACTGACGTCACACACACACCAACTGACGTCACACACACACCAACTGACGTCTCACACACCAACTGACGTCACACACACCAACTGACGTCACACACACCAACTGACGTCACACACACCAACTGACATCACACACACCAACTGACGTCACACACATACCAACTGACGTTACACACACACCAACTGACGTCACACACACACTAACTGACGTCACACACACACCAACTGACGTCACACACACCAACTGACGTCACACACACACCAACTGACGTCACACACACACCAACTGACGTCTCACACACCAACTGACGTCACACACACCAACTGACGTCACACACACCAACTGACGTCACACACACCAACTGACGTCACACACACCAACTGACATCACACACACCAACTGACGTCACACACACACCAACTGACGTCACACACACACCAACTGACGTCACACACACCAACTGACGTCACACACACCAACTGACGTCACACACACCAACTGACGTCATACACACACCAACTGACGTCACACACACACCAACTGACGTCACACACACACCAACTGACGTCACACACACCAACTGACGTCACACACACCAACTGACGTCAGACAGAATTACAGAGACCAGGACCAAATTCAAATGTAGTACCACCAAAAAGGTAGAGAGGGCGCCACACAGACGTTTTTAAGCTCAAAAGTGAGATTTTATCTAATTTGCACTAAAATGTCAAAAAAAATGACCAGGATATGTAGAGAGCACTACAATAAACATATTTATGTAGTTTAAAAAATATTTGGTGTTTAGTCGCTCTTTAACCAGGTCTAGTCTACAAGATTATTGAATGACATGTGTTTACGACATCCGGTGACTTGACCAACCCAAGAGGCTCCTCTGCTACTATAAGAAAGCAGCGTTTGCTTCATCCTTTGTCATTCTGCTATTCCATCTCGTCAGGACCCAGGCTATAGTCTAGGTCTGTAATTTGTATTCTATTCTGTTTATATACATTAAACCTTCTATTTTCATATCTAAGAGTTTGAGCTTCCATTCACTATTTACTGGTTTGTGCGGGAGGGAAACACAGTTGGGCCACAGAGATTATTTACCACACGTTCTTCATCTGCTTCTTACATGCACTTACTTTAGCCACAGCTTTGTCGGAGAAGTACCCCGCAGCGATACTCCCCAAGAGGCCCCCCACCTCCAGAGCACTGATGTAGGAGCTGCCTACGGAGACAGCCCAGTCAGAAACAGCCCTCGGCATTAGCCCCGCCCCCTCATGAGTGAGTTACCCATGAGCGTGGTCTGGCCCTTGTCCTGGATCAGGAACAGCTGGCCCCAGTCGCTGCAGGCCGTTTTGACCCCGAACACCACCAGGTACGACACGGAGAGCAGCCACAGGTACGGAGAGAGCAGGAACTCCCACAGCGTGCTCTCACTGGAGGCCCCTGGGAAAGGCCATGGAGGGTTTTAATACCAGAAAACGTACATAAGCAAGGGCTGTACAGATTCCGATTCATTTATTTGTCATTTGCAGTAAAACCCCATTGGAATACATCCGCGAAAGTCCCCAGTGCGCACAAGACAAGTACATAAATAAACTTGTATTTAAGCTTCAGGATTTTATAAAGCATAAAGGAGCAGTGTGTAAAAATGTGGCCAAAAGTAGCCTCTCCCACTCTCCCTGACTCAGGTTGCCAGATATGCAGACGAATCCATAACAGCTGAGTTTTGTCAACAACAAATCTATAACCAACACCTTTTTCACAAAGATAGAAATCCTGGTTTTATTCCTTGTTTTGTTGTTAATGATTTGAGAATCATAACGAGACCTCTTTTAGTTCTGTGGCCAGTTAAAGAAGTATTGGAAGGAGAATGTTTTATTAATGCCTTTTGACAGATTAGGGCCCTTTAATGATGACTTGACATGAAAATACATATTGCTGCTTTAAGCATTTCCTGCGCTTGTTATCAGAGGAGAACATGCATCATAAAGACTGCACACACGGATGTAATGTTTGTGGGTCTGTGTTATTGGAATGTGAGGAGAACACCGGGATCAGAGTCCACAGAACCGACCTTTAGACCAGACCCACGGAGCACGCGCTGCACACACTCAGCACATGCTCTGCAGATCCACTCCCGACGCAGTTTTATGTCCATGGGTTTTACAATGTGTTACTGTATCCACTATTGCAAGATGATTCAGTAAAATTGATGATGGCACATTTTGACCAAAGAAAAACACATTCTAAACGCATTGAATATTATAGAGGAGTAAGCTGTTTTTATCTTTAAGAAGTTCCTTTTTCACTTTTGAATGCGCTGAATTACTTTTGAATTCACTGGAAACGGCAGCGAGTCCTAAGTGTTGTTTTGTGTTTAACAGTTGTTATTTTTCTTGCTTTTTTCTACCTGAGATGTTGCTGCAGTACAATTTTCATGGTTTTACACTGGTCCAGACCAGAGCAGAGAGGATTCTTGGTCCAAACCAATTGGATCAGGTGAAAATCCACTGGAGGAATGCTAACTTTTTGAGAAATGCTAATGTAGCATTTAGCATTTTACTTTGGACCAGAGCAGAGAAAATGGTCCGAACTTTTTAGAATGATCAACACTGCAGTAGTCCTCCAAAGACTGCAATGCAAACAAGACACAAAAGGATTTTTTTCTAACTTTAGTTAAAGGTATCTGTCATGTTAAACTAGCAGTTATATGATGTTGTTGGAGTGAATGAGAAGCAAGCTGTAAAAATAAAAAGGCTAAATTGACACAAAATAGGTGAACTGCGATGAGGGACCACTGTAGCACAGTTTTAATATATAATCCAACTCCTAAAGCTGGTGTTATAATTGTCCCAACAGAAAGAATGTTTTTAAAGTAATATTTTGAGAACAAATCTGATCACAACATGTTTTTTTCTACTTATTAGAATTGTGGGTTTTTAGGGCTTTTTGTTACATACTGAGAGCTGGTATTGATTTCCTGATTTAGCTGAAGATGCAGAAGTTAAAATACATGTAAGTGAAAACCAAACTCCTAAATGTCCCAGATCCACGATATCACCAAAACCATGACACATTTGTCTGTTTGCAGTTGTTGTCGAGTAGTCCTTTCTCTGTAAAACTCACCTCCTTTGCTTTTCTTGGCGCTGGCCTCGATGTTGGGCAGCCCCACGTCTTTGGGTTCGTTCTTGATGAAGAGGAGGCAGAGGAAGGACACGACTAAGCAGGTCCCACCGGAGGCGCTCAGGATGGTCCTCCAGCTGCAGCTCTGGGACAGCACCGAGGCCACGATGGGCCCCACGCTGCCCGCCAGGTTCATGCTGCAGGAGAGGACGGCCCACCACGTCCCGAACTGAGACGGCTCAAACCACTGCGGAGACACACAAGATTATTTAAAAGAAAAAAAAACCTAATTTCTATGATTTCAATATATTGTTTAATTCATTTTTCTTTTTTTCCTCTTCTCTGCCGTTATTACTGCCACTAACAAGTCGGGGTGGGAACCTCAGGGTACCTCACGATACGATACGATGTGTGACACAAAGCTCACGATAACGAGTACCTCACAATCTGACGACGCAGCGATTACCATTATATTTGTCAGAAATATACCTATAATAATAATAATAATAATAATGCATTGGTTTTATACAGCGTTTTTTTGGACACTTAAAGAAGCTTCACATGTCCTTATTCTTTCTCTCCAAACACGGTGGTGATAAACTACTACTGTAGCCACAGCTGCCCTGGGGCACACTGACAGAAGCGAGGCAACCAGTCTGTGCCATCAGCCCCTCCCACCACCACCAACCATTCATACACACACCAGACTCATTCTAGGCAATGGTGGTGAAGTGTCTTGCCTAAGGACACAACAGCAGTTTGGCACTTTACAGCCGCAGCCGCCCCACTGTGGCTGGTGTTCCCAGAGGTTAAGTGTCTTGCCCAAGGACACAACAACAGCGGGAGTCGATGGTGGAAGTCGGGCTCGAACCCACGACCTTCTGGCTCTACCAACTGAGCTACTGTCACCTTATCATTATAATTTATGCCATAAACAAAAGAAAAGTATTAAGTGAAAAAATACACTTTATTTCAAGATAAATAGATCAAAATGTTGCCTTTTTTTATATAACAAAATTGGTCTTACATCCAATAAAATCAATATGAACATTCTACAGATATCAAAGTGCATTTTGTAGACAAGTTTTACTGAAATCACCAGTCTCAGCTGCTGCCACCTGCTGGCTTGATAGAATATGCTCTAAAGCTAATCCCCAAACATATTAGATAAAACAGACATCTGGGAACAGGAAAATAGTGAAAACCGCTATTGACGTATTAATGAGTCAATGGCAGACAATGAGTTAAAAATGTATTCTTAGCAAAAGCCTCTCGATAAAAGATTGTGTGAGAAATGATCACGATACATCACCATATCGCTATATTGTCACACTCCCCAGGGAGGCGTCCAGGAGGCATCCGGAACAGATGTCCGAGCCACCTCAACTGGTTCCTCTCGACGTGGAGAAGCAGCGGCTCTACTCCGAGCTCCTCCCGTGTGACTGAGCTCCTCACCCTATCTCTAAGGGAGCGCCCAGCCACTCTGCGGAGGAAGCTCATTTCGACCGCTTGTATCCGCGATCTCGTTCTTTACTGGTCATTACTGACTAAGTAGTAAAATAGATAATCGAGTTGGATTGACACTATATGGCCTCACACCACAACTAATTTACTATCATTTATAAACTCCAAAATATGGCCAAATCAATTAAACGTATGGATGTGTTTAACGTACGGCTATATAAGGATCAAACTTAACTTGTACAAACTTTATTACTTTGAAGTTTCCTTTGTGTTTGCTTAATGTTATCGTCTTAAGGCAGTGTCTCCGAACCGGTATTGCAGGTTCTTGAAATGATTTAAAGTATTTATTAAAGTAGCAATATGTAAGATTTCATGTCCAGTCGTCATTAAAGGGCCCTAATCTGTCAAAATGCTTTAATAACACATGTTCTTTTCTAGTAGTAGTAGTAGTACAAAAAAATATCTCTCAAATCCCCTTTTGTGTCCCGAACCTCCAGTTGAGAACCACTATTTTAGAAGATGATATTGGGAGCACCTTTCGAAGAATCCGTCCACAGGGAGGCCAGCCCAGACCCTGTCCCAGGCCGTTGAGGAACCACAGCGTGGAGAAGGCTGTGACGGAGAAGGACCAGGAGAAGACGATGTTGATGCCTCCGACACAGAACAGTCCGATGGAGAAGAGCCAGCGAGCAGAGAGCCGGTCCGACAGCACTCCACTGATGAACTTACTGATGGCATAGGCTAGAGACTGGCTGCTGGTGATCAGGCCTGGAGGAACACAACACATGCATTTAAAACACATTCATGCATTTCCAAATGTTCTGGTGGCCTACTTTGAATGAAAAGACTGATTGTGTAAGTCATACGTGGTTAGATCAGTGAAAAATGTCTTTACTTTTCGGTTTCTAGTCATGAGCTCAGTCAAACAGTGTCTTACTCATTTGAACCATTTTCTCGTTTTAAATTAAAAAAGTTATTCCAATACTTCAACAGTGTTCATTTGAAATCAAAGTGTGATGGAATGTGTCGAGTAAGCACTGATATTAGGGGCGTACATGTGTCAGGAAATGTTATAAAGAAATTTAGACAATTAGTGACAACAAACCCAAGTCATCTTTGTCCATCTTAATCTCCTCCATTACAGACGGCATAACAAACGAGAACGTCTTCCTGTTGAAGTAGTACAAGGTGTAGCCAACAAACATGGCCAAAAATATGGTCCCCCGGTAATATCCATAGTCTGCCATGATGTTCCTCTTTCACTCCTGCAAAAATACAAAAACTGGTAATGGTTGAGGCCGGTGAAAGTCTTGAGGCAGTTGCACACTCGCTGCTGCAGCCCGAGACCCTGAACTTTGCATCAGGATCCACCGTCGCAGCGGCCCCTGTGTTTATCTCTGAAGGGAGTCCTGAACGAAGAGTTAATGATTTACTGTGAGCTCCAATAGTGGCCCAGGACCAGGGGGAGGCTGCTGTCCAACTGAGAAACAACAACATTTCTGACAGCAAGGACACAAACAAAACACAAAGTTGGGGGTTAAAATCCAAGAAGAGTGCTTAAAGTAGAAATATGTAAGATTTTCATGTCAAGTCAGCATTAAAGGTCCTATATCACGCTTTTCTTCATGTTTCACACTCAATCCTATGCACATGTGTGATATTAATGTGTATGATACACCACACAACAATCAAAGCTTGTGAGATTAGAGCCATCTCTTGTATAGAGGTGACGTCACCTCGACTCAAACGAGCTGATCCAGAGTCTGCTCCTCTCCCTGTGAGCCCGCCTCCCCCCGCCCTCACCCGCCTCCCCCCGCCCGCACGGTGACGTAGCATCACGCTTTTGTCGTTTATCACCTGTACTTAGTAATTTCATACATAAGAATAAACTTTTTCCAACAATGACAATCCGTCACATCGAGCCCTATGTCCTTGATGCACAATCAGACCCTAGTTATTTAGTTTACAGAAGTATACAGCGAGTTAGCGTCACTACTCACAGATCGAGGGGGTCCGAGTTACGTCTTTTACCGTGGGAATAACGTGTTTCCAGATCAGCCTTTGAGTAGGTCCAGTTCCATTGTCCCTGTAGTTCTGGAACAGTCTCAGTGAAGTGTCGCAGATGAACCGGTCTATAATAGATCCATGAGATGAACAGATGAAAAAAGTCGAGCCGCTTTCTTCCTCTTAGGGCCAAATAGTGTGTCACATATTTACACCCATAACACACTTCATTCAAGTTGACGTGATCCTAACACTTTTAGTTGCTGTCCGCGAGACCAGACCACAGACAAATCATTTACAACAAAACAAGGGTTGGTTATAGATTTGTTGTTGACAAAACTCTTGTCTATTCAGCTGTTATGGTCCCAGCTGGATTCGTCTGCATATCTGGCAACCTGAGTCAGGGAGAGTGGGAGAGGCTGCAGTACCACTTTTGGCCACATTTGTACATACTGCTCCTTTAAGTGTGGGAAATGTTTAACTTTTCCCACACTTGATTTACGCCCATAAAATAATCTATTCTATTTTAGTAGTGCACAAAGCTAATTTATTTGTTTGTGACTTCTTGTTACTCACAATGGAAATAAAAATAATTCTGATTCTGATTAAAATAGACATCTGCAGAATGAAACTCACTAAATAATCCTTAAGGAAACCCAAACTCTCTCTGAGCCTGCACCACTCGCTTTCCTCAACCTCCTTCTTTAGTACTTCTTTGAAGATGTTTTAACGGAATCATACTTCATCATATTTTTAATAATCTTGTGAATTGTTCCAAAGAGTAGCTCCACACACAACAGACGGAATGATTTTAAAGTAGCTCTTAATTGCTTCTATTGAGCCCCGTTTCCACCAGCCCCAACTCAGGCCTGCACCAGTGAGCATCATGGAATAAGTTTTATACCATAGATTCAGATTTTCAGAACATTATTTGTGCAGTGTTAAAGTTAATCAAGTCTTTCGGCTCAAGGTTCAGTTTAAAACAGTGAGTTTGAAACATGTATTTTTTTTTATTTCTTCCACTTTTAATCTTTTTCCTGTCTTTTTGCTCAGCCTGAGTGTTCCTATTTATAGCAAACGTTCTTGTCTTTTATCTTAGTGGACATTAGATACAAAGCTGAGAACGGATTCCCCACAATGCAACACAATCATTTATCTATGACATTATGAATGAGAAATGATGCAATGGGAAAACACAACACATACCTACAGGAGGACAGTCATGATGTCCCCATCCTGGAACCAGCCGCATGCATTTCTGTCAACAAGGAAGTGAAGCAAGATTACCATCTGCAAATATAGTAACATATGAATTATATGTACTTTCACAGTCTCAAGGTGCTTGGTCTTCCACATCAGTCTAAACAATATCAAATATACTGTATGATTTAATACTTCACATTGTAGAGAACAGTAGCTCAGTTGGTAGAGCATTGGCCTTAAGGCCAGAAGGTTGTGGGTTCATTTCCCACCTCTGCACCTTCTCCACCGACTCCCACTGATGACTGCTGTCGTTGTGTCCTTGGGCAAGACACTTAACCCCACTTCGCCCAAAGCCCCCACTGAAAGATCAAGGCTATGCTCACACTCAGAGAGCAGCCGTCCTCCTGTGGACTCACCACCTGCAGAGGGTCAGTGAGGGGCTGGTGCTATGAGACTTCCCCTGACCCAGAAATGGATTAAAGGGTAGAAAATGGATGGATGGCATTGTAGAGAAGTGATTTAAAGTTTGTATGTGCGCGTGCGTGTGTGTGTGGTATTTGCGAACCCGAGAAGTTCGTTTCCATCGGAGATGGATGCAGTTTTAGCCTGTGCTCTGCAAGAGACGAAGCTCCACAAACGGATATGATCACGTCATGTCTGAGAGTCAGTTAATAAAATATATCGATGGGCAATGTCTGCTTCTTCTTCTTACGCCTTTTCCCCACAGTGCTCCTCCACATAAGCTGCAACACTGCCAACTTCAGTTTTAGTTCACAACTACATCAGTCTTTCCTAGAACGCAGAGACATTAAAAAAAAATTAAAATAAAGAATGTTATTCTTATCACACAGTAATTAATCAGCTCATTGTTTCCAACATTTTGCTCTACAAGTGTTCAAAAGTGTCAGTGCATTGTATTAGTTAAATATGCATGTAACTAATACAGAGGCATTAACAACAGGATTTATAATATGAGGGAAACTTAAGTAAAACAGCTCAACATAAGCGCATCATGGGGGAAAGATGACTCGCCGCTGCTCAACCCACACGCAGCTAGCGCCCCCTAGTGGAGAGTGCGCTCATCATTGATATGTTATAATATCTAGGGATGCGCCGATCGATATTATAATTAGATTCATGGCACCGATGGCTGAACATTGGTATCGACCATAGACTGTAAATGTTATTATATTAGGAGAAATGCAGGTGTCCAGTAGCAGCAGAAACACATCCAAATACAAACAAAACAAATAAATAGATCCTTCTGAAAATAGCTAACAATAGTATTAAACTGCAACAGCACTTTAGGTCACAGCAGCAGCAGAGGTGGAGCAGCCGCTGGGTGGAGTAGACCAGGCCACAGCAGAGGTGGAGCAGCCGCTGGGTGGAGCAGAACAGGCCACAGCAGAACAGGCCACAGCAGAGGTGGAGCAACCGCTGGGTGAAGCAGAACAGGCCACCGCAGAGGTGCTTATTTGTTATCACATTAAAATGAATATTGTGGCCCACTTTGAGAATAAATGGGCTAAAATATTATATATTTTTTACTCTTTATTTGTACAAGTTGTAGCCTGGCCACGATAGCCAAATGTGCATCTCGTTGTCATGGAGACCAAAGTGTGTATAGATCATAGACTGTAACAGCAGTCTTGTCTTCATAATTGTGCAGACTGACTGTCAAGAGTCCATCCATCCATCCATCACACTCAAAGAGAGAGAAGAGTGGTTTGATAAGAAGACTGAAGCCAAGCACATACTAAAACAAAAACAAACCTTGGATCACAAGTGACAACAAACACACTTTGAACCTAAAGAAACAGGCTTTTAAGGCAGGTTACAGGGAACAGGTGAGAACGGTCCAACACGACCTGAAGAGGGCAGTGAGACAGACAAGAATGCTCTGGAGGAGAAACTGCAGAATAACGACACCCGGGAAGTGGCATGAGGACCATTACTGGATACAAGTGAAGGGCAGTGAGTTTAACCTCTGCTGTGACCTGCCCGCTCCACCCGGCGGCTCCACCCCCTCTGCTGTGACCTGCCCGCTCCACCCGGCGGCTCCACCCCCTCTGCTGTGACCTGCCCGCTCCACCCGGCGGCTCCACCACCTCTGCTGTGACCTGCCCGCTCCACCCGGCGGCTCCACCCCCTCTGCTGTGACCTGCCCGCTCCACCCGGCGGCTCCACCACCTCTGCTGTGACCTGTTCTGCTCCACCCGGCGGCTCCACCACCTCTGCTGCTGTGACCTGTTCTGCTCCACCCGGCGGCTCCACCACCTCTGCTGCTGTGACCTGCCCGCTCCACCCGGCGGCTCCACCACCTCTGCTGTGACCTGCCCGCTCCACCCGGCGGCTCCACCACCTCTGCTGTGACCTGCCCGCTCCACCCGGCGGCTCCACCACCTCTGCTGCTGTGACCTGTTCTGCTCCACCCGGCGGCTCCACCACCTCTGCTGTGACCTGTTCTGCTCCTACCAGCGGCTGCACCACCCTTGCTGCTGTGTCATTCTTCATCGTGGAGGATGTCCTGGAGCTGAAGAAGCTCCAGAGGAGGAAGTCGGCTGGGCCTCTCCATACCATCTTTAACAAGAGTCTTCAGACTGGATGTGTCCCACATTTAACTAAACCATGTGTTTGTCATAGTTATTGCTATATTCTCATCTCCTGGCCTTAGCCGTCCGTAAACTGTCAATGAGCTTTGAGACAAATGTTCAGAAATAGATAATATAATTGTATTAATAAAAAATAGTTTTGAATCATGGTTTTATATTAGAGCATCCTTGTCCCTCAGTCCAGTTTTACAACATCTATCCATCATAACATCTTATTCAGGTGCTTATAGTAAACACTTTTTATGTTCAGCAATTTAAGGTTTTAGAAAATAATCCGAGAAACAGGAAGAGGGTGAAGGGGATGAACAAATCCCATTGGTTTATTTTTATCGGTCCGCTCCAAAATATTGTTTATTCATTTTTGTAGACTATAGACATCTGGTCAATTCCATTACTATTTGAAAACACATGATAACTTCACTATTTTTAGGGTTTAGGGACGTTTTCCCACAATATTTAAAACAAATGCTTCTGGAAAAAATCACCGACTGCATATTTAAATTCAAATATATTATAAATGTATATATATTTATATAAACAAAAACCTGCCCCTGAGGGTCAGCACAAACCTTTGTGTGTTGGTCTTAGCTCTCATTTTCACAGTAGTCCTCTGGTCAGGACAGCTGTGTTAGCATGTAGCATTGTTAGCATGTAGCATTGTTAGCATGTAGCATTGTTAGCATGTAGCAATGTTAGCAGTTTAAAAATTCTATAAAAAACGTTTTGGCTGTCATTTGCAAACACGTTACAATTCTTTTGATTTTACTCATTATTGATAAAATGTTTCAGTAGTGTTTTGTTTACATTTAAAGCTAGCACTGGAGATTAGCAAGGCTAGCAAAGATTAGCGATTTTGCAGTAAATGTGACATTCTGTCATTTCCATTGCGGTCACTTTCGCTTCCATCAAATTATTATATTCCATCACAATATAAAATAATAGTCATAATAAAATCAGCAGGTCGGGAGCAATGGTGTCTCAAGTATAAAAGAATATAAACGACACAGCTATGATTGTATGACTGAACAATTAAACAATAAACTTCTTCAAAAACACAAGTTGTGAAAACGTTGCTTCATTTAAATGAGATGCAAACAGGGCTGAAAGTGTGGTTGTATCAGCTGCAAATACTTTAAAAACAAGCCTAACTTCCTGGAGAAATATACGGAGATCCAGATTTGACCCTGACCCTATCCACCTTTTAAGAATGGTTAAAGCAAATCAAAAGTTCGCCAATGTCTCTAATATCAAAATTCCCTTAACATTAGCCTGACCACGGAAAACATGTTCAAAAACTGAAAATGTTCCTCCAGAGAAATGAAGCCGATCTGAAAACCATGTCTGTGCTCGACTGTGCTGTGGACATAGTGGTTTTGGGAGCAGACAAAGACGTCCCAGGCTGAAAATAAAATCTCTTATTGAAATGCAATCTTATCATATGCCATTAAAACAAACTGGGGCCGCTAACGTTTGCTTGTGTAGCCACGGCTCCCACCGCAGTGTGCGGTGCATTTCCTCCATTCTGCCTCCGGGAAGATTGAAATTAAATGAGGAAAATCCAGATAATAATCAAAATGAGCAAATGTTGTTTTATCTCCTGACTTTCCTTGATCTTTAACGGAAATGTATCCGTGGGTTTCAGCTTCCTGCTCCGTGCAATATTTGGCGTAGAATTTTCCCATTCAAACAGATTTAATGTTTTATTCTGAATGGTCTAATACCTCCCCAACACCAGAGGTTAGAAACTGAAGACAACTCAGAATATTGTGCTTTCTCTGCTTCGTAACTTTCCATATGCTCCATCACGGAGGAGGAAGAAACTAAGAGTGTGGCGGAGGTTCTGGTCAGATTGTCAGAGCACGTCCTGGATTTAGGAGATTATAAAAGACCCACACACATACTGTAAATGCCTCTGCTATGTGCCTGCTCTCTGTCCTGATGCTGGGATTTATAAATGTGTGATTGGTTTGTTAGCCCATGTCTATTTAGCCCATGTCTGTTTAGCCCAGGTCAGTTTAGCTCATGTCTATTTAGCCCATGTCTGTTTAGCCCAGGTCAGTTTAGCCCATGTCTATTTAGCCCATGTCTGTTTAGCCCAGGTCAGTTTAGCCCATGTCTATTTAGCCCATGTCTGTTTAGCCCATGTCTGTTTAGCCCAGGTCAGTTCAGCCCATGTCTATTTAGCCCATGTCTGTTTAGCCCAGGTCAGTTTAACCCATGTCTATTTAGCCCATGTCTGTTTAGCCCAGGTCAGTTTAGCCCATGTCTATTTAGCCCATGTCTGTTTAGCCCAGGTCAGTTTAGCCCAGGTCAGTTTAGCCCAGGTCTGTTTAGCCCAGGTCTGTTTAGCCCAGGTCAGTTTAGCCCAGGTCAGTTTAGCCCATGTCTGTTTAGCCCAGGTCAGTTTAGCCCATGTCTGTTTAGCCCAGGTCAGTTTAGCCCATGTCTATTTAGCCCATGTCTGTTTAGCCCAGGTCAGTTTAGCCCATGTCTATTTAGCCCATGTCTGTTTAGCCCATGTCTGTTTAGCCCAGGTCAGTTTAGCCCATGTCTATTTAGGCCCATGTCTGTTTAGCCCAGGTCAGTTTAGCCCATGTCTATTTAGCCCATGTCTGTTTAGCCCAGGTCAGTTTAGCCCATGTCTGTTTAGCCCAGGTCAGTTTAGCCCATGTCTATTTAGCCCATGTCTGTTTAGCCCATGTCTGTTTAGCCCATGTCTGTTTAGCCCAGGTCAGTTTAGCCCAGGTCAGTTTAGCCCAGGTCAGTTTAGCCCAGGTCAGTTTAGCCCATGTCTGTTTAGCCCATGTCTGTTTAGCCCAGGTCAGTTTAGCCCATGTCTATTTAGCCCATGTCTGTTTAGCCCAGGTCAGTTTAGCCCAGGTCAGTTTAGCCCAGGTCTGTTTAGCCCAGGTCTGTTTAGCCCAGGTCAGTTTAGCCCAGGTCAGTTTAGCCCATGTCTGTTTAGCCCAGGTCAGTTTAGCCCATGTCTGTTTAGCCCAGGTCAGTTTAGCCCATGTCTATTTAGCCCATGTCTGTTTAGCCCAGGTCAGTTTTGCCCAGGTCTATTTAGCCCATGTCTGTTTAGCCCATGTCTGTTTAGCCCAGGTCAGTTTAGCCCATGTCTATTTAGCCCATGTCTGTTTAGCCCAGGTCAGTTTAGCCCATGTCTATTTAGCCCATGTCTGTTTAGCCCAGGTCAGTTTAGCCCATGTCTGTTTAGCCCAGGTCAGTTTAGCCCATGTCTATTTAGCCCATGTCTGTTTAGCCCATGTCTGTTTAGCCCATGTCTGTTTAGCCCAGGTCAGTTTAGCCCAGGTCAGTTTAGCCCAGGTCAGTTTAGCCCAGGTCAGTTTAGCCCATGTCTGTTTAGCCCATGTCTGTTTAGCCCGGGTCACCGCAGCGGCGCATACACAGGGAGAGCTGAAATAGCCACATTTGGCCTATTTTTAATCAAATCCCATGTTCCTAAATCATAATATATACAATGTAACAAAAGTTTATTTGAAAAAATTCACTTTGATCCCAAAGTGCACAGCCGGTCATTACACATGTGTTCGACCTCCAAAGCACACGTGTCCTTCAGGGACATGAAAGCAGTCCTTCACAGACCTTAACGCTGCTTATCCTCCAGGTTCTGGTGAAGTCAACCTTAAAGGTCCATATCACGTTTGTTCACTTTTCTCTGCTTTAAACATCATTAAAATACGATCTGGGCTTCATACACACGGGCTGCGTTAGTGGCAAAGGAGATGGCTAAAGCTAGGCTAAATGCTAAAGCTAGGCTAAATGCTAAAGCTAGGCTAAATGCTAAAGCTAGGCTAAATGCTGAATGCTAGCGACTCACTCGAGCGCATTACATACATCCCTGTAAACTCAGATTCCATTGAGGCGATATCGCAAGAAATGTCTATAATGTTGGTGTATCAATGTACATGAGGCGATACCATGTACGGTGTATCGCCAAATTATTATCACAGATGGGTTTAGGATGGACTGTGAAACATGAGGTGTGAAATATGGGACCTTAAGGCGGTATGAGAAGATCCTCCTCGCTGCTGCTATGGATCATCACATCATTCTAGTCAACTATATCCCTGACCTCAGGGTCACTATCTTAAACACAACAGAAGCTCACACTAACGATGTAATGATGCTGATGAATACTTATGCAGACTTAAATAAGCTGCAACAGCTCTTTCTTCTCCTAATAATGTAAACAAAGTGCATAAAGCAGCATTAAACACACTATAAACACATTATAACTGGCCCAAAACTTCTGCACATGTTTTCATAAAGTTGGATTTATGCAGAATTAAAAGTATTCCATATTCTACTACAAGTGAAACATAACTAAAGGGACTCTTCAGATTCAGATGATGATGAGCTGTTTGAGCTGCTGTCCAGAACTGCATGCTGGGATCTCCGGCTCCGAGCCGCTGCTTGGGTGTCCCCTGTTTCCTAAAAGGGACTGTAAAGAGATGCCCCCAGTTTCCTAAGCTATTAAAGCTAATAAAGGAAGCCTGGATGGTCCTTTCCTTACTCTTCCTTGACGTGGTTGGTCAGATCAATGGAAGGACATTTCCTTCATGCATTCACTGTTTTCAGACTGATCGTTTGTTTTCTCCTTCAGGTCTGAGCTCAGTGGGACCAGAGTCACTGCTCACTTTCTGAGGATGGTCATCTGCAGACACTCCTGTTTCAAAGCCACCAGCTCGGTCTTATAGCTGTTGTTTTTGTCAGTATCAGTGAACACACAAGCATATTTCCTGGTGGACAGAGGTGTGTCTATGGTCACAGAGCCTGTGATGATGTCAGCGTTAGAGGGAGAGGAGGCGGAGCCTCTGTGGAAAGCTGCAGACAGTAAAGTCATGAGGGCGCGGCCCACGTCGTTGCGCGCTCCCTCATTTACAAAGCAGTAGAGGATGGGGTCTGCCACACAGTTCAGACTGGTGAGGGCCAGAGACACATGGTACGCAGCAAACAGGCTCTCCTCAGAGCTGCAGTCACATGGTCTTCTCAGGAACATGACGGAGCGCACCAGCAGCAGAGCATGGTACGGTCCAAAGCACAGCAGCACAATGAGGATGAGGCTCAGAGCCAGACGCTGAATCTTTGCCTTCTCCTGCTGTTCTGTGGACACATTACAGCGCACTGCCGCCAGAATTCCACGATACGCCACCAGCATGGCAGTCCAAGGGCCCAGGAAGCCCAGAAACGTCCTGTACAAGTTCATGCCTGCCACCCAGTCCTGCATTGGGTACTTCTCGAAGCAGAATGTGTGGTTGAAGCGGTCCTGGAACAGCTCATCATGGAACAGCGGAGCAGAGTTTGCCACAATCTCGATAATCCACACCACTGCGCTGACCAGCATGGCTGAAACACACACACACACACACACACACACACACACTGTGAGGTCCAGCACAGGGACAGTATATGCCCTATATACAGGTAGATGTATATGTACTTGTACAACAAGATTTCAAGATTGTATTTGCAAATTGCAGTAAAACCACATTGGAAAAACTGTGGTTGGAAAATACTACCTCAGTATGCACCAGACAGAGCAGATAGCACACACCACTGCTCTTGCTACGGCACCAGTTTTAGCCAGAACTAAACCAGGATTAAACCAGAAGTAAACCAGGTGGGAACGCAGCTATTTATATCTTTTTTATTTCTTTATTCCATTCAAAGAAATGCAAAAACAACGCAACTTAAGAAGAAAGTCAATAATCACAGAAACTACCCAGACGCTCACCTTTAAAACCGCAAAAAACCTTTGAAGCCAACGATAAATGAGCGACTATACTTTTGCCTGTGTCAGCTCTACCTTCACTCCTCCGTGTGCTGCGGTGAGTATAGCCACAGACTGTAAAATAATAGCACCCACCTGTCTTGACGCGGCGCACTTTGGCGAAGCGCAAAGGGTAGGCCACAGCCAGGAAGCGGTCCAGCGAGATGCAGCACAGGAAGGCGATGCTCACGTAGATGTTGGTGTAGAAGATGAAGCCGAATAGTTTGCAGCTCTCCTGGCCGTGAATCCAGTCGTCGCGCTGCAGGAAGTAGTCGATCCAGAGCGGGAGGGTGGAGATGTACAGCAGGTCCGCCACAGACAGATTTATCAGATACACACCCAGCTCGTTCCTCTGCCGCACCTGCAAAACACGGCCGGATGAGGCCTACGGAGTCTCATGGTCCAACTAAAACTATTCATGAACACCGAAAAGACTGCCATAAATGTGAAAACGTACGTAGGTAGATGTTTAAATCTGTCATTAAAAGAAAAGTATAAGTCCTTTATTGGAGTAAATGTGTCGAACCAAAGCCTTTAGACACATGAAGAGTGAAGACTTTTCATGTGTGGGAACCTCCTCAGGATGTATTTTTTATCCTTTGCTTTTTACTTTGTACACCCATGATTGTGGATCTTCCTCTGACTCTAACTTGATCATAAAATACACGGATGACACCACCATCATCGGTCTCATGATAATGATGAATCCTCTTACAGAGCAGAAAGAAAACCAACTCCAGCTGAACGCATCCAAAACATGTGAACTGGTCTGTGATCTTAGCTGTTCTCTCACGCCTGTTGTCATTGATAACTCCCAAGTGCAGATTGTAGAGGAGGCAAGTTTCTGGGTTTAACCAAGCCTCGGTGATCCAAGATGGCGTCCTATTCAAATCAATGTGACATCGGGACCGAAAGATTAGCTGTATTTGTGGCAACTCAATATTTTTCTCATCACTGTTTAGCGGATGTCTCTGTTGCTTTGGGCAACTGCTGAACATTTCAAAATGCTGGAGCATGAGTCGGTAGTAGAACCAGGAAGTACAACCAAATTTGTCCTGGTCTCAGGTCTCTGCACAAGTTAATTCCAAGAGCTTACTCCGAAGCCATGAAAGAGCACAGGGACTGGCCTCCTGCTGGGGCTCTGATGAGCACAGGGACTGGCCTCCTACTGTGACTCTGAATGAGCACAGGGACTGGCCTCCTGCTGGGACTCTGAGGAGCACAGGGACTGGCCTCCTGCTGGGACTCTGAGGAGCACAGGGACTGGCCTCCTGCTGGGACTCTGAGGAGCACAGGGACTGGCCTCCTGCTGGGACTCTGAGGAGCACAGGGGCTTCACCCCCGTTCTGGCCTCACTTGTCTGGCTCCCTGTCACATTCAGGGTTAATTTTGATTTTCTAATGCTTGTTTTAACATGTTTAAATGGTTTGGTCCTTGCATATCTGTCAGAGCTGTTATCTCCTTAAGCCCCTGCAAGATCAGTGAGGTGAGGAAACCAAGTTTTGTTAAATGTGCCTAGGTCTCGTCTAAAAACTCGAGGAGACCGAGCCTTTTCTGTTGCTACCCTCAAACTGTGGAATAGTGACCTCTGTTCTCTAGAGTAGCCCGTTTTTGGGAGGTTTTTAAATCTAGTCTATCCATCCATCCATCCATTTTCTTCCCCTTAATCCATTTCTGGGTCGGGGGTGGCAGTCAGAGCTGCACCCAGTCACAGAGCACCAGCCCCTCACTGATCCTCCTGCAGGTGCTGAGTCCACAGGAGCCTTGATTACTCAACAGGGGCTTCAGGCAAAGTGGGGTTAAGTGTCTTTCCCAAGGAAACAACAACAACAGACATTAGTATCGGTGGAGAAGGTCTTGTGGTGGTCTCGAACCCACAATCTTCAGGCTCAAAGGCCAACTGAGCTACTGTCGCCTCCCTCTCTACAGACAAATGTTTTCGCCTTGGCTTTTAAAACCAACTGAGTTTTACTTTTTACAAGTATTTTATGCTGTTTGGTTTTAATTGTTATCTTTTGTGTCTTTGAAGGAGTCCTGGGATCTGGGAGCGGAGGTCTGGGCTGGTCTTACCTGCAGGTACGCGGCCCACAGAGCCATGCAGTTGGTGGGCAGCCCGAGCACGATCACCACAATGTACAGAGTGGGTTGGAAGTACTGGTCCACTTTACTGTCCACATCACAAAACGAGATGTTGCACATAGCTCTGAGTGGACGGGGCCCACATTCCCCCAGGAGTCCCTCGGGGCCCCTCACTTAGAGCGGTCCAGCTGACAGCTCTGCCGCACCAGAACATGTCATCCTCACATTGGGTTCCCACAGCGTCGGAGGCTGCACCGAGAGCTCGCAGGTCCTGGAATCAAGAGTCATTTATTTAATACATTATTCATTTAGAATGTAGACAGACAGATCATTTATTGTTATTGTTAAAGCAAAAGCAGCAGACTCAGTACACCACTCACTAAAAATACAGACTAAATATGGATGTGAGGTTTGTTTGGATCAGGAGTCTACAACCTTTTATCAATCTGAGAACTACTTTTATACAACAGAAGAGGTAGAGAGCTACTCCTTTTCGCGGTCATAATAAAATCTATGTAATAATTATGACAAAACATGGAAAACGTTAAAAAAAATACCATAATACTGCAAAACCCTATATTTAAAATAAATGTGTAATGACTCAAAAGTGAATCATTCAAGATCATGTGTTAAATTCTACATCCTTTGGGAGCTACCTGAAAGGGGCTGGTGAGCTACTGGTAGCTCCTGAGCTACAGGTTGGAGACCCATGGTTTAGTGTGCAATGGTGATCTCCTCATCTGGAACAATGTGTTGAAACTATAATCATCAGTAACAGTGGGGATACCACAACAAACAAGGCCTCACACTGAGACCTGATCATGGTTCACATTTCAACATGAGACCAAAGGGGTTTTCACACTGACCCAAAACTCTGGTTTTTTGGCGTTTTCATTCACAATGACTGCCTCTTTCCAGTGTAAACACAGCGCTAATTTAGAATCTGTAAGGCCTTGAATAGTCATTCATTGTTCATATTATTGAAAGTATTGAGCATGATTTGTTTTAGCAAAACCATCTAGAAACAACACAACATATAGATATTGATAGTGTTACAACTATATGGCTATATATAGTATATACTGTATATATATATATATATATATATATATATATATATATATATATATATATATATATATATATATATATATATATATATATATATATATATATATATATATATATATATATATATATATATATATATATATATATATATATATATATATACATACATATATATATATATATATATATATATATATATATATATCCATCCATCCATCCATTTTCTACCCTTTAATCCATTTCTGGGTCAGGGGGGTGGCAATCAGAGATGCCACCCAAGTCTCATGTTGAAAGATATATATATATATATATATATATATAGGAAGGTCATAGGCCCAGATTAGACACAATAATATAGAAGGCCAATATTTGATGCAAAGACATGAAATGGTTGATACATAGAGACAGTTGTTGTGGAAAATGTCTCAATGATCCATAGAAACACTTTGTGTGTGGTTTAATCAAAGTATAAAGTAAATGATAAAAACAAGCCTTACAATGGGATTCACACAAACTTTATCACATCGGGAAAGTCACTCATCGGTCTGTAGCCACAAGAAGAACCACACGTCACACCTCCACAACTTAAGGAAGGTAGGAAGGAAGGGGAGAGAAACAAAGGGTTAAAGCGGTCGAAGGTGCAGAAGAAACAGGAAGAGCACTCTGTCTCAAGGTCACTTCATCCACACGAGAAGCGAAACAGTCACATCAAAAGATCAATCACAGTAAAGGCCTCACAGACTTTCCTTCTTGCCATAAAACAGAACCTCATAAACCGTTTGTTTTTAAACCTTTAAATCATATGTTTGTGCCTTTGTATTAGAAGTTTGTCGATAAGGTTTGTATTCACTTTTGCATTGCGTGCTTTGGTGTCCAACATTGATGGGATGGAACCAGCTGTCAATCACTTCCAATCCCTCCCCTCAGGCTCCCTCGCTGGATTAAAAAAGTACCCAATATGAAAACCTGCACACGCCTACGTCTGGGTCTGTCAATACAAGACATTTGGGAGCAACATTGCTATATATTAGTTCCTACCAATATAGCACAGAAAAAAGAAAAAATATCATAATAAAAACAAGGATAGGGGCTTTGTGCATTGATATCGCCTCCAACATGTTCTGCAGTGTGAAATCCCCTGTTCCAAAACCAACTCCAACTGAACCAGGAGAATGACCGGCCGACTCATGGAATAATCTGAACACCTGAATAACCAAACGGTCTGTGAGATGTTCATGTGCATAGATAAACTTACCGGAGAGGTTCTGATGTGCTCCTGCTGCTGCTGCTGCTGCTCCGGCTGCTGCTGCTGCTGCTGCTGCTGCTGCTGCTGCTGCTGCTGCTGCTGCTGCTGCTGCTGCTGCTGCTTCTGCTGCTGCTGCTGCTGCTGCTGCTGCTGCTGCTTCTGATGCTGCTGCTGCTGCTGCTGCTCCTGCTGCTGCTGCTGCTGCTCCTGCTGCTGCTGCTGCTCTTGCTCATGTGAACTTTGTCATGTGTGATTATGTTTCTGCTCCGTGCATCAAATCATATGAGATAAAAAGTTTGAAGCAGAAGTTGTGCTGAGAGAAGGCACTCATTGATCACGGAAAAAGTTCCATGGTCAACTACTTTAACTAATTTACTATTTTACTGATCAAATAACTCTAAACATGAACAACATGTCATTAAGCCAAAGTTAAAGCCACGGCAACATGGCCACGGGAATGGAATTTAAACAATGCATTAAATACTGATAGATACCTAGTGTGTACCTAAGTGTGTGTACCTACTGTAAGTGTGTGTACCTAAGTGTGTACCTAAGTGTGTGTAACTAGTGTGTACCTAAGTGTGTGTACCTATGTGTACCTAGTGTGTGATACCTAGTGTTGCATTACGTCTTGGTTTATCAAAGAAAAGGCACATTCTATCGCAATATATGATGCCAAACACATCAATCAGGCAAGATGGCCGCCCCAGCTCCACTGCAAAAGAAAGAAACAAGACCCCAGTGAGTCAAAGACATTTTTATTTTTTTTGCAAATACGTGAAGACATCTTTGACGTATGGTAAAAAGATCAATGAATGCAATGCAATATGAGCACTTAAAGCAGGCAGGGCCAAACTCAGGCCCGGGAGCCAGTTGCGGCCCTCAGTGTCATTGTGTGTGGCCCTCTGTCGTGCTAACCCAAATTAGTTTCTGAGATCATAAACACAAGTTTGCTGTGTCATCCATCCAACTTCAGCTCAGCCAATAAAGACCTTGTTCTAAAGTCCAGTACAGACGTGGTTTTTGATTGTGTCACTTCTGTTAGTAGCTGGTGAGATGGTAAACATGTATCATTCAGACAACTTCAGCTCTGTTATAGATCATTTTAAAGCTCAGAACAGCCCGATGCCAGTCAGGACAGTTTTTCAATCCATGATGTTGGCCCCTGGACTAGTCTAGTGAACTAAAGTGGCCCTCTTTCTAAAATACATAAATCCCATTCATGTTCCACCCTCATCCCTGCACTATCTGCTCAGTCTGTGGCACACTGGGGAAGTCTTGCACAGTTATTCCAAAGTGGTTTTACTGCAAATGGCAAATTAACTGAATTTTGAATTATGCAGTCACTATCTGACCACAGTTGCGCATGTGTGTGTGTGTGTGTGTGTGTGTGTGTGTAACCGTGAGTGTGTGCATGTGTGTGTGTGTGTGTGTGTGTGTGTGTGTGTGTGTAACCGTGAGTGTTCAGTAAATGTGTCTCACCTTAAGTCATAAGTTTTCCCGTCAGCCAATCAGAATCCTCAGAGACAGTCAGCTCCTGAACAGAAATAAACATGTGGAAATCAAAATAAGTCATGTATAACTATAAAAGCTATTGCTATCTTTACAATATAAAACTCAAACACTTGATTATTCCAAAGTTCTTCCAGTGTTTGTAACATTGATTTGAACTGGACAGAATCAGATCAAAGGATATAATATAAAGCTATAAAGGTTTGATTTTTGTTTTGAAAGAATCTGATTGTTCTCCATAGACTGAACTATTTCTTCCATTCTTCAGGACCTTGTTAATTAGGATTAGGACATGTCTGTGAGTGTGTTGTCCAACAGAGGGGGCTGCTGAGCTGAGGAGCCAGAGCACAGCAGGAGGCACCTTCAGCTTCAAAGAACAAAGAATGTGTTTTTAGGTGAGTCCAGGTCCTAATGAGGTGTGTGTGTGTGTGTGTGTGTGTGTGTGTGTGTGCGTGTGCGTGTGCGTGTGCGTGCGTGCGTGCGTGCGTGCGTGTGTGTGTGTGTGCTCTCTAGCCCTCTGTCTGGAACCTCTGGCTTGTGAGCTACCAGTAGCTCGCCAGCCCCTTTCAGGGAGTTCATCAAAGAATTTAGAATTCAACACATGATCTTGAATGAATTCATTTTGAGTAAGTATAAATATTGGGTTATACAGTATTAACAGCTTATTAACCGAGCGCTCGGTCTGTGCACGGCTCGGTCTGTGCACGGCTCGGTCTGTACATTAAAGCTGCACTAACTGACTTTATTTTTGTATTAATTACTAAAATGCTATCCATGTCCATGTAGTGCATTGGGATATACATCATTTTGAAGAAAAAGTAGCGCAGATTTGTGCTGGCGTCACATTATATTTTAGATCGAGTTTTGATGAAACAAGGAAGAGAATGTGTTTCGGGTCTCAGATTGTGACCAATCACAGTGGACCGCTAGCCCCCACTTTCGTGAGAAATCTACAGGTCCGTTAGCATAGATGGCTGAGTTAGCACAACAAGCCGAGGAGCTAACCTGAAGCTTCCTCGTCTTCGTCACCGGTTACTGCTTACACAGCGAGACAGCCATCCAAAAGAAAGTCTCGTTCCTCCGCGCTTCCCGGTTCTATCGTTCTATGGTCACGCCATCCACGTACAAATCCATATCCATGTATTATCCATATTGGGAGACGCTAGCTCCGTCCCAACAGTGGGTGTGTGTGGGGAGCGATAGCTTTGTGGGTGCGGGGAGGGGAGCAGAAAGAGCGAGGCCAGCGGGTCCACGGCTTCAAAATCCCAAAGTCAGTTAGTGCAGCTTTAAGGCCGCGGCCTGATGTTTCTCTGTACAGACCGAGCAAGCGAGGTTAATAAATGTTTTATTATATGACTCTCGTCTGTGTCTTTACCAATGCTTTTGAGATATTTGTGAAGTATGTTCATGTCCGACTTGGTTTTGTGTGATACACGCTGCGGACAGATTGTCATGGTAACGGTCCGAGGAAAGATATCAAATGTGATACGCGCTGTTCGGACCAATTGTCATGGTAACGGTCTGAGATGGGAAAATATCAGAGTGGTAATCAGCCAATCAGAGCGCGCGTACGGTCCAAGTCATATAATAATATGGTATATTTTACATGTGTTTACCATGTTTTGTCCAAATTATTAGATCAATTTTTTCTACAACTGCAAACATGAGAAGCTCTCTGCCTCTTCTGTTGTATAAAAGTAGCTCCCTGATTGAAAAAGGTTGGAGACCCACAGGGTGGAGCAGTCTGTCACTGAAGCTGCTCTCCAGAGCAGACGCAGTACTGCAGGGACAGACAAGATGACAAGCTTTTCTATAACCCAACCAGGGGACGCCCAGGACCCTTCCTGGTCAGGGTCAAAGAGGGTCAGGGTCCAAGAGGGTCTGGGTCCAGAGGGACTGGGTCCAGAGGGACTGGGTCCAGAGGGACTGGGTCCAGGGACATTCCAGAGTAAAAATATGTAGTTTGTAGATAATGAATGTGGTGAAATGAATGTGTTACTTTATGATTTAAAAGCTTTTTCCTTCAGAGACATCAGTTCGATCTTATTCAGGTCCAATCCTACCCAAACGTAGGGTCATTGCAAGTTTTATATTATATTTTACCCTGAGACAAAGTGTTACCTAGTAATAGATTAAATAAAAATAAACGTAGATTAAATAAAAATAAACATAGATTAAATAAAAATAAACATATATTAAATAAAAATAAAGCCACATTATTTCTAACCACATGTCTCTGAGCTTGAGTAAGCAGCTCTGTCTCACAACATGGGCGTGGACTGTGGAGAGAACACTGTTCCCAGAAAGTACACACAAGGACTGAGAGCTACACAACTACTGTGTGTCTCACTACTGACCAGCTGCGTCCGACACACAACACAGCACTGCAACACACCAACACAACACTGCAACACACAACACAACACTGCAACACCCAACACAACACTGCAACACACCAACACAACACTGCAACACACAACACAGCACTGCAACACACCAACACAACACTGCAACACACAACACAACACTGCAACACACCAACACAGCACTGCAACACACAACACAGCACTGCAACACACCAACACAACACTGCAACACACTAACACAACACTGCAACACACAACACATCACTGCAACACACTAACACAACACTACAACACACCAACACAGCACTGCAACACACCAACACAACACTGCAACACACTAACACAACACTGCAACACACTAACACAACACTGCAACACACAACACAGCACTGCAACACACTAACACAACACTACAACACACCAACACAGCACTGCAACACACAACACAGCACTGCAACACACCAACACAACACTGCAACACACTAACACAACACTGCAACACACCAACACAGCACTGCAACACACAACACAACACAGCACTGCAACACACTAACACAGCACTGCAACACACTAACACAACACTGCAACACACAACACAGCACTGCAACACACCAACACAACACTGCAACACACTAACACAGCACTGCAACACACTAACACAACACTGCAACACACTAACACAGCACTGCAACACACTAACACAACACTGCAACACACCAACACAGCACTGCAACACACAACACAGCACTGCAACACACCAACACAACACTGCAACACACCAACACAGCACTGCAACACACTAACACAACACTGCAACACACCAACACAGCACTGCAACACACAACACAACACAGCACTGCAACACACTAACACAGCACTGCAACACACTAACACAACACTGCAACACACTAACACAGCACTGCAACACACTAACACAACACTGCAACACACTAACACAGCACTGCAACACACTAACACAACACTGCAACACACCAACACAGCACTGCAACACACAACACAGCACTGCAACACACCAACACAACACTGCAACACACCAACACAGCACTGCAACACACTAACACAACACTGCAACACACCAACACAACACAGCACTGCAACACAACACTTTTACATAACACAACATTCTAACTCAGACCTTACAGATTATTGACTTATTCTTGGAGTCCTTCTCCTTGTTTTTGTTTCTTATTTTTGTTCTTTTTCCGAGGAGACAGTGATAATCCGGGACATTTCTCCCTGTGTTTGGCTCGTTTGATTCTCTGATCTGTTGTCAGCAAACTGTTTAAAGTCAACTCTGTAAAGTCCTTTGAGACGACTGCTTTGATTTAGGGCCATACAACGATAAATGTAACTGAAGTGAAGAGAATGTAATGTTTTTCTGAGTCTGTCCAGAACAGACTCCTGCATCTGCCCGACCCCGGGGCCCAGTGTCCCAGGACAGTGGTGGGAACAGCCTCCTGCACACACACACACACACACACACACATGTACACACAAACACACAGACATGAACACACGGACACACACACACACACACAGAGACATGAACACACGGACACACACACACACACACACAGACACACGGACACACAGACACACAGACACACAGACACGAACACACGGACACACACACACACAGACATGAACACACGGACACACACACACACAGACACACAGACACGAACACACGGACACACACACACACACACACAGACATGAACACACGGACACACACACACACACACACAGACACACGGACACACAGACACACAGACATGAACACACGGACACACACACACACAGACACACAGACACGAACACACGGACACACACACACACAGACACAGACATGAACACACACAGACACACAGACACACACACACACAGACACAGACATGAACACACGGACACACACACACAGACACACGTACACACAGACACAAACACACACACGTACACACACAGACACGCACACACGTACACACACAAACACGTACATGCACACACCGACACACGCACACATACACACACACACACAAACCCATGAACACATACACACGCCCACACACACACACACAGACAGACATGCACAAACAACGGACACACACACACACAGACACACGCCCACGCACGCACACAGACATGCACACACACACAGACACACACAGGCCTAGAGTGAAGAGATCTGAAAGGATTGTGGGTTCTTTGTTTGTAAAAATGTGTTTACACTTAAAATGAGACAAACTTATTATTATTCCAGTAAACACATAAAAAAGCCAATTCCGATTCCATTCCCACAATGTCACAAACTGCTGCACTAGTGATTATTATCATTGCTTTTATCCTTCCCCCACAAAGTCTTCAGTCTGTCCCCTGGGTGCTTGGCCTCCTCCTCACAGCAGCAGAACCACACTGTCTCTCACGGGATCAGCAGCTGTCCCTGTCCTGGAGCATGGACACACACTGAGAGAAGCCCGTCAGAATCAGCCAATCAGGAGTGGCCCTGGTCTCATGCCAGTCAGAAGCCGTGGAGGAATTTGAGGACTGAAGGCACCTGATTGGTCGTTTGTCAGGAGTCACAGCCAGATTACAGTTTTTTCCTATTGCTTGAACACATTTTGCAAGATTTCGCTCATAGTCCCAAAACTCTACACACAAGAACCTGACACACACTGGGACATGAACCTCTGGGTCAAAATGAAACTCCTTTATCAAAACTCAAACTCTGCTCTCAAAACTAAACAATAATTTGTCAAAATGAAACTCTGAAGACAAAATGACATACACTTGTATCACGTGAACACACTTTCAGATCTGAAGCAACACACTACAGCACTCTACACAAAACACTGCAGTCTTTTTCACTGGTTTTATTCTGTTTATCAGTTAGTTTTTTTTCTGTGAAGCTCAATGGAACTGTTTTTGTTCTCAAAGGTTTACCAACAACCGGGAAGTACTGAAGGGTTACAAATGATATCAACTCAATACTGTAGATCACAGTACTGCAGTATACTGTGCAGTACAGTACAATAGTACACTTTACTGCATTTGTGTCAATGCTTACTGCATTGAAAAACCTCTAATGTAAAACTAGGCATTTATTCATGGATGGATCATGGATCATGGCTCCTGCTCGGACTACTGCCACAAAGGCAAGTTTCTGCTGTTGGTGAACAGTTGCCGACCGTCTCCACCTTCAGAAGATTTCCAAGTCATTCTGTATAAATGTTCAACCACAAATTGTTACTTCAGGTTTAGTATTTTACATTACTGTACACAGTACTGTGACATCTCAATGGTTCAGTACTATGTACCTTACTGTATTGTAAGTTTCACAAAACTATCATTTTTCAAAAGGAGCAATAGCCAACTTGCAAAACACTACATGTGATACAGTACAGTACTGTAAATACTGTAGATACAGTCTGCAGTACAGCGGTACAGTACATGTGATACAGTACAGTACTGTAAATACTGTAGATACAGTCTGCGGTACAGAGTTACAGTACTGTAAATACTGTAGGTACAGTCTGCAGTACAGAGGTACAGTACTGTAAATACTGTAGGTACAGTCTGCAGTACAGAGGTACAGTACTGTAAATACTGTAGGTACAGTCTGCAGTACAGAGGTACAGTACTGTATATACTGTAGGTACAGTCTGCAGTACAGAGGTACAGTACTGTAAATACTGTAGATACAGTCTGCAGTACAGAGTTAGAGACATGTTTCCATCTGAAGGTCCTGATGCAGCTGGAGCTGGACTCTGCTTCCTTCAGTGTGAGGCCGTGGTTTACACATGTTCCTCGAAAGTTGCTCTAATGTCAGAAATGTCTTCAACCACTTCCTCTTCCTCTTCCTCTTCCTCTTGCTCTGCCATCAAACTTCTAAAGTTCTGAAAATGGATAAACTGAGTCCTGTTTGTCTGACTGATAAGATAAGATGTGCTTTATTTATCTCACAGAGGAGAAATTTACAATGATGTGTGTCGCGTTTTGTAAGTCAGTGTTGTCAAGTGTGTGTCTCAGAGTTGTCAATCACACAATGTGTTTGGTATATTGAGTAGATGTGATTTCCCAACGATAACTCAGGACTGCATTTATGAACAAAGTGCCTTATGTATGACACAGTGTGTAGTAAGCAGGAGAAAGTGTGTTGCAGAAAGAGAAAGTGTGTTGCAGAAAGAGAAAGTGTTGTAGAAATGAAAGGAAAGTGTAAAGCATGACTTTTGTTTAAGGAATTGTCAGACCGTGTTTTAGGTTCAGTACAAAAGCTTCAGGTTCTGTAACTTTGGTCTAAGTGTGTGTTTATAGTGTTCAAGCAACAAGAAAAAACTGTAAAAAGACAACATGGAAATTAAACACCAGGATCATGTAGAACACTAAACCACTAAACCACGGATGTTTACCCTAACCCCAAAGTCACATGTCTTTAGTGCGTGTAAACGTAGCCGTGTGGGTTACGTCCATGGATTGCGTTTCGTGGTAATGATCCTGACCATTTACATCAGCAGGAATGCTCTATTGAACATATGTCTCTTTATCGCACTGTGAATATTGCTTGGTGTAAGTTTGGGGTAAGAGCAGTTTATATTCAAAGCAGTGACATCAGAGTGAAGCAGAATTCACAAAGCGTTGGATTGTTCACACTGACAGGGAATGTGAGCTGGGATCAGACAGTTGTGAGTTAGTTTTAAGAGTAACCTGCATTATTAGCCTGCTTTGAGCTAGCGAGTTAGCATTGACCTCTCCAATATACCGACTATGGAAGAGCTTCACGCACCCAGAGGTGGACCAGGCGGACGAGCTGTTTACACGGAAACGCTGCGACAGTGAAACGATGGAGTTGGTATCGGATTGGCCTTTCGTTCACACGGAGACAGTGTTTCAGGTGAAAACACTAGCGCTGAGAAACGGCCTCCAGAGTGGAACAGAACGGATATGCTGCGGCGAGGGCTGTTTCCATTTTGTTGCGGAAAACAGACATTAAAGAATCAGGAGAATTTTCCAAACAAAACACAGAAATTGACCAATATGATAATAGCCAGTTCCTAGTAAGTAAGTAATGTTTATTTATATAACGCCTTTCAAAGACCAGAGTCAAAGCACTTTACAATGTTGGCATTCGTCTGTCACTCCACACAGAGATGGGAGGGGCCAGAACAGGAGGCACAGAGCTATTGTACATGTTTTTAGTGGTAGGGGAAACCGGAGCACCTGGAGGAAACCTACGCAGACACAGGG